TTGTACCCTTCATAATGCTTCAGGTCTTATGTCGTTTATTCCGGAGTATTCAGTACATGTGGTGTAAAATATCCCTAACCTTGGTCACTTACATTTTCACCTGTTAAATCTAGCCAAGATTAAACCATGCGATCTTTTATTCCTCACCTGGTATAATATGCCTTAAAACTCTTTGTTCAAGATATTGATAATTTTACCATCTGGTTCCTAAGTAGCTGGGCTTCCCAGATTCTGTGTGCTGGGGGGGAGATTTTTGCTACGTAATACTTAACCGTTTTGTTGCTCTCAAAGTCTAAGTGTAATTTCTCTTGATTCTGATCCTGCATTTATCAGTGGATTGTTTTCGCAACAATAATAGCTGCAACCAAGTGGACATACTTGGAGACACTAGTTGTTTGGTGTAGACGTATACCACGAAAACTTTGGTGGGTACTGAATTTCAAGCACTTGCGTGATTTTAGATATCTGCTACTTGAATCAAAGACTAAAGTTAGTGCAACTAACAACCACTCAATTTATTATGAATATATTTATGATGAATATTCATAATAAATTGATTCTCTCTACAATGCATAGATTATTCATTCGTGTAATTCATATAACCACTCACTTTGGAGTGTGCTAAGAAGTGGTTAATATCGGAGCCGTTGAAACTTCAAACACAACTCTAGCGAGGTTGGTTTAGCCGTAGATGTTCTTAAGCCTAATTCTTAGTTTGCAACTGAACTCAAGGAAAACTAGCCATTGTAGTCATAAAAAATAATATAACCCATCAACCACGTATGGGTTTGCGCACTAGCTAATGGACTATACCCGGAAGATTAGGGCAGATTTACCATACCTCACCATTATTATTCATAAAAGTAACATCTAATTGGGATGCTTATTTGTTGTTTTAAGTTGAGAGACTTCTATCTCAAGTTAATGGATTCATTTTTCTTTTACAAGTCTCATGAATTATGTATGAGCATGAAAAGGCTGGTTGATAGCAAATAGTTTAACCAAACTGAAATCACTCATGCTATTATGAAGTGCGGCAGATTGAACCGATACACTTGTGTATGTGAGGTTCTACGTTGATTTTGTCTGTTTATTATTTTCTTATCCTTCGTCTTTTTGCCTTGTATGTTGTAAGTCTTGTCTGATTTGACCTTATAAGTTAATGTTGGCTCCCCTGTTGGTGTTAACTGTATTTGTGAAATATTGCCACCTACTCCTACAGCGCAAATTTCTTCTCATCGTCATGCCTCTAATTTTTCTCTCTCCTTTCTTCTTTTATTATGCCTCCCTTTTATCAATATGTTTCTTAGAGTTTCCTTAGTTTTCAGTTAATCTTAAACTGTTCCTGTTGAAGCCAACGTAACACCATTTTAACCTTAGAACCATGTAACTAACCGTACTATGGAACTTTTAACGTGTGAACGTGGTAAAATTGGACACCAACTGTTGACATAGTTTTTGCATCTGACGTTACGGATAGTTTTTGTATGCATGGGTGCAAAATCCCAAATATGGTCACCCACTTTGTCTCACTTAACCAATGCGGTACTCGACCTTTGCTTGTAGTGTCTACCTACCTTCTACTAAATGTGATTCGGAAGACACAAAAATTAAATCCTGCCAGAATTCGTTAATTCGGCTGCAACAGGTCAAATATTCAGGAATATTCTTCTTAACGAGTAACTTCAGTACTCAAATACTGATATCGTGGTACACAGAAACACTAAAATGTTCTTTTGTTTTTATGAGTAGATAAGCAGACAAAACCAGTGTAAGTTCTGATATTACTGTGTAGCAGTTCAAGTTGCCACATCTCCAGTCAGCACATGAGGTGAGAACGCACCAAAAGGAAAAGCCAAGAAATAAAACAGAGAACTGTCAAAAATGATAGAGTCATCAAATGAGAGGAAGAAGGAATTAGAGGATCTTGAAGTTCTATGTGACGATTAAGATAATGTATGAATAACATGTGTGGCACTGAAATCGTTTCTCAGCCATATCACCTAGAGTCTCCAACCACTGGTTTCTTTGGTCAGGTGAACCCAAATCGGCTAGTCTGCATCTCCCCATATAACTCAGACCAACAGTCAAAGACTTCATGCAGTGATGCCAAGTTTTAGTCCGACCGTTTCTAGCCTTTTTCGAGGCTTGATCTGCTTTGGCTAACATTGTACAACAAGACAGATGGTGACTGGGTATGGTTAGCAAATGTCCGAGCCACTTGAGTCGAAGAGGGTTCACAAACTCATTGACTTACCTTCCTCTTCTCCTTAAAAGACTTCACTTAATTTCTGACGATATAGTGACACCACGACACATGGCCTATGCTACGAAGGCAACGGTGGTCGGAAACCTAAAGCATTTTCTTGTCCTCTACCGTGCGACCATGTTTCACAACTACATATTAGAGCAGAATGACTTGCGGCGCACTACACTTGACCCATAATAGAAAATTGCATGTCACGACGGCGCCACAGATGGCGTGATTTGGCGAAAGCCAAGTCGAGCCTTTTGTATGCGTGCAGATATTTCATCGGTCATTGACCTACCAGGGCTGATCTGACTCCCCAAGCAAGTGAAGTGGTCAGCACTCTCAACCACCTGACTGCCTATTGTTAATCAAGACACCAATGAAGACCTGTTCTTGAGCAACAATTTGGATTTGGGTGACAAGAAATGCATCTCAAACATTCTCAAATTGCCACTCAGGATGTCCAGAAGGCTATCTTGTGAGTGTCTTCACCTAACCAGACTATGTCACCTGTGTATTTTATATCTACGAAGGATTCTGTGAAGTCGAACAAAAAGAAGACCTCCATAAGTACTTCTTTGATACGATTGAATTGGAATGGAGAGAGAGGGCATCCTTGATGAACGCCATTCAGTGCACGCAATTGGCCTGAAAACTTATCATAGGCTCTACCACAGGCACATGTGCTCGCTTATAAAGCCTTCAACAGAGTGATGTACTTACTCGGTAACTGTTCCAGTGGGACACTGCCATAATACCTATTGACCGACATAATAGACTGCACCTTCAGGTTGAGAAATACAGCCAGTGTCGGGCGTCGTTATATATATCTATTTCCAGAACTTAGTGAAGTATAAATATCTGGTCTATGCACTCATAACCAGGTATGAGCCCTGCCTAATTTTTTCGAGTTGGCTGTTCCCGTGCTCCACTCAGATATCTAATGATTATATAACCTGAAATCTTAGACACTGATTTCATCAGGCTGATTCCCCTATGGTTATCACAAAAGGACTTGTGTTGGGCATGTGTTGCGCATGCGTGTTGGAGAAGAGTTCACACTGACCAGACCAAAAGCTGGAACGAGTTCATGAAGTCTCTTACTGTTGGCCCGAGCCGTGTGGGGAGATGTAGGCTATCTGGCTCGGGTCCCTGAGACGAAAGGAATCATTGATTAACAACTCTTAGTAACATGACTCTAAGTTGGTCACAGTGACGCTAATGCATTTACTCCTTGACATCTTATAAAGTTTGACTATTCGCACTAAATGTTACCTCCAAATTGTTTATTCTCTCACGCAACTTCATCTACCATAATATCAATCTTTTCATTTTAGCTAGTTTTTTATATGCTGCTGTGTAGTGTGGAAAAGTGAGGTGATGTACTTATGTGCGAGGTTCTACGTTGATTTTGCCTGTCTTCCTGACAGTTAATATTACACGCTGTCATACAACAGCAGTGACACATTTTTCTTCCTTCGTTTCCTATTTCATTTAACTTAACCTCATCACTGTGATTTTGTCTGTTGTAAATTGTACCCGTTTTACCAAGTTGTATGTAAAAATAATGATAAGTGCAGATGCCATACTTCTTCATGCCTATTTGAAGTTGCTTGCCAAAATTTTGTGGTAGTAACAATAATGAATCATTATACCTATACTACTGTGAAGTGTGGATAATGCACTCCCGTGGAAGGTTCTGCGTTGATTTTGTCAGTCAGTCACGCATACTCTAAAAATGACATTAACAATGATCAGTAAACTGCTGCCGTTGATTGTGAATACCTTGGAGATAGTTGTGCGCGGAAATCAGTTGATCATTGACTTGTGTTTAGCAGGTGCTCGTGCAACTGTGATGATTTAGTGCTGGTTTGACCATTATGAACCAACGACTTGATTACCTTGATTACTGTAATAATCTTGATATTGGCATATTTTGTCAGGTTTCTGATAAGATCTCACCGATAACACAGGAGCTTCGGTTATCATCTGTCGACTAACGATACTTGCTATCGATTAGGTGCAGAGCAAAGTAGCTAATACAAGGTAATTCAATAAGTTTTCATAACCATATAGATTACTTTTTTTAATGGTACAACTCGCTAGCATCTCCATGCCACGTGAAAACCACTATTTGGTAAGGATATTTCTAATTCTAATGTTTCATAGAAGTGTAATTATTAGCCAGGGGACACATTTAGTAGTGTTCACATTGAAGGGACAAAAAAGGATATGTAATTAAGATCTTGTACTTACACGTCACTAAGAGATGGAAACAGACAAATGAGTCTGGCTCTCTGAAAATTTTAGCAATAAAGTGATGAAATGCAAAAATTCGTATTTGTAAGAAGATAAATTTGACTAATATAGTTTATTCAAACGTAGCGAAGACGATTGTGATAACTTAGATCTCTACTGAGTGATGGCTGAAGGTAAAATGAAAGTTTGAACCTCGGCCGGATTCGACCCAGCGATCATCGGGTTTCCTACCTGGTGCTGGTGTCTATATACCTGGTGAAAACTTTATTGTCCATGAAAATATGACCAGCTGAATCATTTAAGTGGTAGGTAGGTATCTACTACATATACTCTATAGAATCATTATTAAGCCTATGAGCTGTGCATATCACACCACATCACCCTGGAAATCATTGATTTTTTTAAATTAATTTCTGTCATTTTCAAAAAGATACTGTGAACTGTAGCCTCTAAATATTTTTGTTGAATTTGACATTGTTCTTTGTTCCAGGCTAATCCTGTAAATATTATATGTGATCAAGTACAGTCTGGCATTATAATTTCCGTTGTTCAAAACCATCCTTCTAATCAAAGCGCGTATGTTTCACATTTTTGTCACAGGGATGGTTTTCTTCTGTATTAATTTTATCATGTAAGCTTGTTACACTTTAGCTATTGAAATATTAGTTTGAAAAATTAGGATAAATGCAACTAGGCAACTGAGTTTATGTTTACGCACTAAATTACAGGGCACCAATTGAATGGGTTCTAATGATATACCAATGGGTTGCCAACAATTCGGTATGTAAGGGGATTTTTCTAACCTCGAGCCTGCTGGTTAAAAGCAGATTGTTTAGACCACTACACTACAGTTTGTAAAGTAAATCCAATAACTGTACTGTACTACCTGGAAGGTTTTTAAATCTTGGTTGATTATCCCGTAAGTATGTCTACTCAGTATGTAGCTAATTTTTTCCTTTTATGTAAGATAGAACCGTGTATCATGGTCATCTGATATGAATGATTTACAACTCATACTTACTGAATTGCAAAGTGCCTATTTCTTGTATCAAAGTTCCAACACAAAAAACTAGCTTTCATTGTACCATGAATATTATGATTGGAATGATAAAAAGGAAACACTTTTGGTACTTCCCATTGAGAGGTTAATCATGGTAAGTTAGTTCTTTTTACTTGAAGCATTCACAGAGTAAGAGAGTGGTCAATTTTCGTTCTGTTTAAAGTAATAAGGTAAGCGAGATAAGTACGTTTTTATGTTTTAAAGCTCAAAAGGTTGTCCTATCAATCACCATTAGCATAATACTTTGTGAGAAGGCGAATACTTCAAAGTGAAATGATTCAGATAAATTTCGTTAAAGCTTCAAAACGTGTTTTTGTACAATGATCCAACTTATTTCAATGTATAACAATTGCAACATTCTATGGCTAGCAATGGAATCTAAGATACATGTTTCGTCCTATTTGAGACTAAGCTACATCCGATCGAGTGATGTTGTCCCCACTGAGACTGATAGTTTCGAAAGCCACTGGGGCACGATAGCCACCTCTTACGGAACGCGTATTAGTTGTTGTTTATTGATACCTTTGATTTCCCGTTGCTATAATGGGTCAAATTACTCGACGTTTGTTGGCATATAGGCTGCTATGTGGATGCTTCGTAACTGCCTGGAGTCTATTTGATGACTAGCAGTGGAGCAGTTCGACTGAGTGTAGCAACAGGAAATTACAAATATCAATAAAAAATTGTAATACTCTTTCACTTGGAAACCAACGATTAAGATGAGATTTGATCAAATTAATGTAAGCCCAAAACTTGGGCACTGATCGATTGTAATTTCATTTTAGTTTGGTTAGACTTGTGTCACACAGTGAGACATTAACTAGTAAATACTATTTAAGTTAATTTGAAAGCAAGATGCAAGAGATGTGATTTTTGATTTACTAATGGTGATTTTCTGGTGTTTCAATATACCGTAATGCATATCTCTACGAATTTGGCACTTTTCAATTTTTTATACATCTAAGATTTCCCCCTTATCTATACAGTTTAAAATTGTTTACATAAGTTAAAGTCGAACAAAAAAATGTTGAAAGAAACCCATGCATACAGTTGTCAGAGTTATATATTCTTTATGAGGACTGATAACACTTAATTGACTGTCCAAATTTCGGTGGATGAAGATATGTTTGAATTCGGGACCCACTGGTAGAAAATCCCTTGAGTATACCAATGAATTTCAGCTCCATCAGTTTATTATTTATAAATTATATCATCATAGTTGATGTCTTTTACTTACATTAAAAATAAACCAAGCCTATGAAGTTACTATTGAAATAAAGGTTAAACAACGTTTAAATACTGTCACAACAACAACTTGTTACATATAAGCCATGACTATCATAAGTGTGATTTCTCAAAGATGTAGTGTACAAGAGAAATCATTCATGACTCTGTTCCTTTGTTCTTATTTTTCAAGCTTAACTTCAATTGAAAATAATTGAAGGAATTACATAGTTTTTACGAGTTCTCACCTATAAAGTATTTTATTTTTGTAATGAGCTTTTTAAAAGGAATGCCAACTCATAGGTATATAATAGTAAAAAAAAGTAATTCCTTAATGAACATGATTGATTATTGTTCATGGTAAAGTTGTAAGTAGTATTAATTAATTAATCTACTTTTTCCACGAAGCTTTGTAAATTGTTTACTCGTTTGTTTTGTTGAATATGCTACAACTATAAATCATTATAGAGAATTATATTTTTAATAATGGATAGTAACTAGCGGTGAAATTCAGCATCCGCGTTTCGTCCTATTTGTAGCTCGTCAGCCGAATGTACCTAACTCCCAGTGAGTAATGTTGTTCCCACTACGACTTGAACCCGGAACCGATCATTTTGAAGCGTTAAAGCTTTTTCCACTTGGCACAAGAAGTCACTACTACTAGTGTTTACTAATTACTTTAAAATAGGATATATTTCTTTATATCTATGATAGTCTTACTAGTTTTGAGTTAAGTTAACAAACTACATACTACTTCTCATCTCGTAAAAATGACTGAATTCGAGGTGTCTTTAGATAAATCTATAAATTCATATAATATCGCCTGTTACTAAGCTCTTTATCTTTCATTATTTTGAATTTTTATTTTGAAATTTAGCCTTTTTATTTTTTCTCGGAAGAAAAATTTCGTTGATAATCAGTATGATATATCTGAATTGACTGATTTGATTCCTGTGGATGAAAATTTCTCTTGTGAAGATACAGGTAGGATTTTTCGAAAGTTATATAAGTATAATAACTTGTGTTATGATCATTATCAGAGTAAACCTCGGTCTATGTGGTAGAATGTAATTCCATTCCAGTTGATTTAGTAGATGAACCATATATTATATTTATTATTTTCATTATTTTTTTTCTCCCTTGGGTTCCTAGTGGAACATAGGGCTTCACTAGCACACCTCTATCGCACTCTCTTCTCTGCAGTCTTTTCAACCTGACTCTACGACTGCCCACAAGCTTTCGTTTCTTCCTCACATGACCTCCTCCATGTCACTCTGAAGTTGGACACCCAACTCGTCGTTTCCCCTTTGGATTCCACTCGAGGGTCTGACCTGGAGCGTGATGTCCCCAGTCGGCCTTCTCAGTGTATATCCAATCCATCTGCACTTTCTTCTGCATATTGCTTTGGTGATAGGTTTTTGGTTGGTTCGTTGTCAGGCAAGAATTCTTGTTGCTTATTCTTTCTGATCATTTGATCTTCAGTATCGAGCGTAGGCAGCTGTTGATGTCTATAGTTTGTTGGAAGTGCTTTTCGTGACACGCCAAGTTTCTAAGCCATACACAAGCACTGATTTGACATCGGTGTTGAAAATCCGGATGTAGTTCTTTGTACTGAGTGCAATAGATCTGCACACTGATTTCAGATTACTGAAAACCTGTCTTGCTTTGTCGATCCTGGTTTTGACATCCTCGTCTGTGCCGCCTGTAGTAGTTGGAACGATGCTGCCTTGCTTGGCTGGGTCGGTGAAAGAGACTACTTTCTTTAGGTTTCTCCCCTTCATGGTGATCGGTGCCTCTTGTTGTTAGTTGGGTATCTTCATCACGTCCATCTTCTCTACATTCACTTGAAGTCCCGTTTTCGCTGCCTTTTCTGTCAACTTGTTAGTTTTCGCCTGTAGATCTTCGAGTTAGTGCAACATTAGACATAAATCATCATCGTTGGTGAAATCCAATTCTTCTAGGATCTTTTCATCAGTCAAGCAGCGTATGCCCATCTTCTCACAACTCTTCACTGTTCGCTTCATGATCCAGTTGACCACAATCAGGAATATCGTGGGTGATAGTAGACAGTCTTGTCTTACTCCTGTCTTCACTTCAACCATATAGTAAAATAAAATTATTTACGGTAAATAATACTGTCCCACTATATGATACATCAAATAAATCAACTAAAATGGAATCATTGTGATCATTATTGATCTCTAGAGTTTATATGACTGTAAAATTTAGTTACTGTGGTGGAGTATGATTTCTTTTTAGTTCGTTTATCACAGTGAAATAGTATCAGGTGCTGGATAACGTTCTGGTCAGAGTTTACTGTCCATTTCTATTTACAATTGTGAAACAGTTTATTTACTATTCTTGTTACAGCAAGGGCAGCTTGATTTTTCAGATATCAGAAACACGAAGTCATTTCTCTTGCACACATTAGGTATCCGTTCGATCAATAAAGTTCTAGTTACCAACCTGTCTCTGCTGTTACAAAAGTTCATTCGAAATATTACCATTATACCCCCATCTTATCTCGTAGCTGTCTGCGAATATGCACTTGTATACCTCAGTGCTTTTCTATACTTCATATCCTGTCAGGCTTTAGCATTCTACATTTAATTAACTAGGTTCCTATCTTCTATCAGTCTTATTGATCGCAGCTAGCTACTTTGTTCCACGTGCTTCCTCTTGTTACAGACAGACAGAAGAAACCTCGCACATAAGTACATCACCTCACTTTTCCACACTACACAGCAGCATATAAAAAACTAGCTAAAATGAAAAGAATGATATTAAGGTAGATGAAGTTGCGTGAGAGAATAAACAATTTGGAGGTAACATTTAGTGCGACTAGTCAAACTTTATAAGATGTCAAGGAGTAAATGCATTAGCATCACTGTGACCAACTTAGAGTCATGTTACTAAGAGTTGTTAACCAATGATTCCTTTCGTCTCAGGGACCCGAGCCAGATAGCCTACATCTCCCCACACGGCTCGGGCCAACAGTAAGAGACTTCATGAACTGCTGCCGGCTCTTAGTCTGGTTACCCTAAACCCTCTTCCAACATAATTCAACTTCCCCCTAGCATGGCGCGTTGAGGTAGACGGTGACTCGGCATGTGCAGGACATGTCCAGGCCATTTCAGTCAATGAAGGTTCGTAGCTTTATAAACCGACTTGCTTATTTTGCATTGTACCCGTCACCTGACCTCAACAATTGTCACATGATGATTTTGCCAAACGTGAGCAATGTTACGAATATACTTGTAATCAAAACCCCACAATCGCTTCATCTCTTCTATCTCAATTACTGTGTCCTACGACCATATGATAAAACAGAACGGACTGCAGTGCAGTGTACTCGCCTTTCGATAGATAGTCGAATATCTCGCCAGTCGGCTCCATAGATGATGCAAGTTAGCAAATGCCAGACGGGCATTCTGTTTGCGAGCTGAGATTCCATCAGCAACCGGCCAGTTCGGGGTGATGCGATTCCCCAAGTAAGTGAAGTTGTCAACACATTCCGCCACTTCACTCCCCATTTTATTAGGCTGGGAGTCGTTGCAGACCAGTCCTTTCTGTAGCGTCATCTCACATTTTTCAGGCGTGAAACGCATGCCAAAAATACTCAGATTTCTGCTAAACGCATCTAGAAGACCGTACATTTTGTCAGGGTGTTCACTCCGCAGGACAACATCGTCTGCATACTCCAAGTCAACCAGATGACCTCCAAGGAGTGGGTGAATCCCTGAGCAGTCAGACGCACTTTAGGTTACATTCATTAGTACATTTCCTGACGAAGTTGAGTAAGAATAGTGACAATGAGCATCCCTGGTGGACACCACTAGTTGTCACCAGTCCTGATGACATTTCTCCATAAGGCTGTGGAGATAGCTGTGTGGGTTCGAGTAGAAAGCTTTGATCAGCATTACATACTTGTTTGGTACTCTCTTCACCTTATTACGTGTAGCTCGGCAGACCAAAATGTTTTATCTCGCAAGTTCAACAGTATCCTTTAGTCTATAAAGTCGTGATGTCATTCCTAATGCTCATGTAAACGAGTAAATTAGTTTTCTCGGCTGTAATAAATTTGTAGTACGGTTTTTTGTTTCAAATCTCTTACCTCAGACACTCACCACAGGATTTCTACTAGTTGCTTCGTTGTATTTGGTGCTTAAATAAATTTATTTTGTAATTCCTACTGCTCTTAAAAAGTTATGTTAATAGGAGCAGCTTCAGAAAGCACTACTAGATTAATCATTGGGAGGATAAATGTATTCTAAATGGTAATGTGTTCACCACAAGACCGGGTGATCCAGTGTATGACTTCTTGTATGGTCATGGGTATGCAGTACTGAGAAGTTCTGTACTCTCAGGTTTCAACTAGCTCTTCAACTGATGACGATTTGATAGAATCAGAGCAATAAACAGACCTAAATTCGGTACAGCTGTAGATAAGGTATGCAGAATTACTGTAAGCATGAGATTTGATATCTGTTGACTCGTTTATTATATGGTGTTAGCTATTGTATTTGACCGACAGTCAGAAAAACAATAGCATTACATTATGGTGTTATAAAAAGGAAAAGAAATTATTTTTTTAGTGAATTTACACTAACTGATCAATTCAACCTGTATTACTGTCATTCATATTAATCTTCATGGAACTAATTTCCCAGGGTTTCAGTATTCTTCTTTATCATAATTCCCTCCTTTCAAATAAACAGCGATGACAATGTTTAATAATTTTTCTTTTTTTACATTGGCACAAATATTTTTATAGTTAGCGGTGGAATCTAGTCGATAATTTACTTTTGGAGCACATATACAAAATTTATGTTGATTATATATAAAGTATAATAAAATTTTAAAAGTGATTTTAGCATGAACAAAATAAATCATGGTGGTATTCGAATTTTTGTCGGTTGTATGAATGAGTGCTTACCTTCTGAATTAGGTGCAACTACTCATCGTTCAAAGTTGCCTTCTGTGTGTGTGTATGTGCCACCGAAAATTTCTCCAGGTAAAAAACTAAAGAAGATTGAAGTTTGCAAAGTAAAACAACAATAAACCGTTGTGTCATTTTCATTTACGCTCTTAAGAATACCTCTATATTATATGGTGAGGTTATCCAGAGTGGGTCAACACTGGTCGTTAATGAAGCGGAGCTCCTGAAGGAACTCCAGTAACTGCTGTATCATAACATAAATGGACAGACAGACATCTGTTCAGTTTGTCGAAATTCACTATAGCATACAAAGAAAAACTGGTAGAAAAAGTGATATCAAACTAGACTAAGGTGTATAGGAGGAAAGGGGATTCGAAAATCAAGATTGATGAAAGTATCCAAGACTTAGAAGACGTCAAAGAATGAATATATGCGTGGCATTGTGGCCGATTTTCTGTCATGTTACCAAGATTTTTGGATGATTGATTCCTATCGTCTCGAGGCAGTGCATTCTAAACCCGCTTACACAGCTTCATGGACTGTTGGCAACCCTGAATCTTCCAGCGAAATCCTACTTCGGCTAACATTACACGTCGATGTGGGCAGTGGCTCGGGATGTGCAACAGATGTGAAAGCCACCTCAGCCATTGAACGTTTGCAACCGCATTGGCTAGCTTGCTATCAATGTACACATCTTTAAAAAAGGACTACTTAATGTAAGTGATGTCGACTGCGTCCAAAACATCGGGTACTGTCATATTTCTTAAGCGTGAAGAACTGATCTACGAGAATCAGGTGAGATTCCCTTCAAGTCATGGATGCATAGATCATATATTCACCCTCTACGAGATAAAGGACACCATCAGATGTATCGCAGGCTGATAAACGTTATTTCTATTCGTATTTGAACAGCTTTATATTCACTGTAATTTGAAGTTGTCTGTTTAAGAGAGATGTCCCTTTGGAGTCTCCTTTTTAATGCATTGAGAATCTTACATGAAAACATTTAAGGTAAAGTGACGGCACATAACCGTCTGTCTACATTATTCTAAATTAGCATCAGTATTCAGTGTGGTTGTTTGTTTTCATCATTCATCGAAACCGGTGACAATCGTGCTGCAGCTTTGTTGTTTCGCCTTTAGTTTAGAGGCTAAATGAAGGTAATTGGTGGTTATTAAAGTGTGTTCTTTCCACTGTTTTCGTTCTGTCTCTGCTTTTCTTTCGTTCCCTCTACATGACTTTTATTTCTTTCTAGCGCTATTATTGTATTTTACTTGACGCATTTTCCGGTGCAAAACTTGAATTTTAAATAAATAATAGACAAATAATACCTTTGAGAGGATACAGTTAACGATATTTATCCGAGTCTTGAATGCTATTTTTTTATCCACCTATCCTTTCAATTTTTCTTCAGATTCTACTGGTCAACTTCAAGTTTCTGGAAAACGGGTAGTTGATATTTCTTCGCATACAGAACCTGCGAACCAACAGCTTAAACTTTATGTTATATCAAATAGTGTAAATAAACCACTTAATTCTAAAGTAAACACAAGTGATATCGATTCAGATGAAGAAAGTAATCCAGGTCACCCAGTATTCTTGAAGAGTTTGAAGGATACCTCAGGGAAAGCAACCGACAAGAGTTCGATTCGTCTTTCCGTAAGTGTTTTATCCGTTTATGTGTATGTCTGCGTTCATACTTGTTTGTTTACAAATGGCTATTAAGGCTCATACTTTAGATTGATATGTTTTTTGGAAATCTACTGAAACGCTACTGTGAATGACCACCATAATGATCGAAAGGAGAAAAAGTGAAAGGAATGCAGTAATCATTTATAGGCCAGCGTAACGGTAGTGAGTAATATCCAATAAGAATTTTCAGTCACACTGTTAACGTTATGAGACTATATTATATTCAAGCTATCTAGTCAAGGAATTCTAGGGAATTGTTTTAACCATATAGAAGAATTAGCTTTCACAGTGATTGGAAGTTCATTTTTCTACCTTATTGGGATTTTAAAAATATGTTTCCTCTACATACCGATACATTATTATCACTTGGTCTAGTCATTTGGTCACTTTGTCGTTGGTTGTCTGCTCAAAAAATAGTTTCGTCTCTTAGCCCTTCCATTTTATAACTGTAGAACATGGTGAGAATTTATAGAAAATAATATTCTCGTTCCAAATTATCTTTTTATCAATAAAATGGGAATTTTTCTTGCTGTATGAGTCTATTATTTTGTACATCGTTACAACTGTCTTGTTTAAATATCTCTAAGTTCTTCAGTACACTTTTTAAAACCTATTCAGTGATGCCTATCAAACTGAAACCAAATGTTCTTCGATTCTATGCATAATTTCTGTAGTATTCTGGCATCTGTTTGTACTGACAGTCCTATATATCTTTCGTGTGAATACATTCGCATTATTGCGTTTGATTTTGAACTGTATCCCTTAGAGTTTTTAACCATTGATTCTTATAGTTTCTAGTTTCCCAGCTGGACAGTCTTCACTTCCCCACACGGTTCTGTTTTATATCTAACTTCAAGACACTTTTCATTACGGATCAGTATCATATAGCAAACCGTGAGATGACCGAGACTACTGTACAACTATAGGAATTTGTTCTTGCCGATGATATTTTATGGTGGTTAGTCCATGTCGGAAATCGACAGATGCAGTGAGTCACCGGATCTCATCTTCTTAGATAAATGGTAGTGAGTCCATTATGGGACGTGACAGTCCTAGATATGATACAGTTTGCAATGATAGACAGCAAGGCTGAAAATTCAACAGTTATATAATTTTTCTTAGTTACCACTAGTTCTCTAGCTGATATCAATTTGTGATAGAAACTGAAACCAATCAGTTTCTAATAAATACTTAACTACAAAATGTTGGCAAATGATATATTATCAATAAATGAGCTTTGTATGTTACGTTCACTACTCTATCCTTAACTTTTCTTGCGATTTTATTTTGAAAACCCTTTAATGAAGAAAGTTAATTTGGCTCTTGCGGTGAAAAAATATCTGTTCCTCAGTGTACACCAAGCTATTAATCACTGTGGTAACCGTTTCAAGAAATGAAAGTCTATATTTGAAGTGATCTGTATATAGTATTTTGTCATCTAATCTTTCATCCCAGCTGGAAGTTATCGTTAATGCAACCAGTCTACTTGTTATGAATAGGTTTAATAAGACTGTAGCATGCAATCACAGCTTTAACGCAGAATAGCGTGTTATCTACGGTACAGAGTTTCTCGAAACTATGGTAGTGTCATAGAAGTTAAGTTATGCTATTAAATTATTGGATGTTAGATCGCATAGAAGATGATGATGAAGTGGTGTCTATCATTCGCAGAATAATTCTATATTTAACAATGATCTTTTCACTGACCGGTTATACACTTAGTACAAAACAATCATCAGTAAGTTCTCCATTAAGTTTAGAGTACATTGAGCGTGTTTGGTGATAGAAGGTGGATTATTTTTTGTGCCTTGGGTTCTTAGTGGAACATAGGGCTTCACTAGCACACCTCTATCGCACTCTCTTCTCTGCAGTCTTTTCAACCTGACTCTACGACTGCCCACAAGCTTTCGTTTCTTCCTCACATGACCTCCTCCATGTCACTCTGAAGTTGGACACCCAACTCGTCGTTTCCCCTTTGGACTCCACTCGAGGGTCTGACCTGGAGCGTGATGTCCCCAGTCGGCCTTCTCAGTGTATATCCAATCCATCTGCACTTTCTTCTGCATATTGCTTTGGTGATAGGTTTTTGGTTGGTTCGTTGTCAGGCAAGAATTCTTGTTGCTTATTCTTTCTGGCCATCTGATCTTGTGACTTTCCTTCCTTTTGAGTTGAACCTTGCTGTTATGATCCTCGAGGAGATTGGTTCCCACTGCATGAGAGCATTCGGTGCTGTTGGAGACATCATGATAGCCACTCCCTCAGTGTGCTCATGGTTGTCGTGTGGGTGACAGGAACGGAGTAGATTATTGACTCCTCTCCAGTTGACAGTTTGGAGAGTCCGCTCCCATTTTATCTACTTTCGCAAACTCCTAACACTTCAATGCGATACCTTCTCATCTCGTTTTCAATCTGGGCAGCCTTACTAGGTTCAAACATGGTACGGACATTCCATGTTCCCATGTTTACTTTCGCTTTCATCGAGAGAGAGGAGAGAGAGAGAGAGAGAGAGAAAAGACACATCGGCCAATTGGCTTCCCGAGGGCAGGTTCTCACCAACCGGCGTCCTTTCGCCTCTCCAACTCTAGCGAGGAATAATTTTGTTTTTATTTTTTATATTTTGTTTGTGCTCTGAAGTTTCTTTAGTGGTTGGATTTGTTTTACGGGGTAGGGTTTCTAGCCCTACCCCCAACCTTCCGTCTTTACCTATGCTTAGGACCGGCTAGTAACTAGTGAACTGGTTAACCAGGCGAGGTTGATAAAAGGTGGATACTTGCTTTTATATTTTCATTATAAAGTATTGTTTTGTGATCTGAGATAATCAAGTTACTACACAAATTGAAGCATTTAGTTGTGATGAACAACTTCACTCCTTAGGGTTGAGTTTAAAAAGTAGGGAAGTAACGTTCGTTGATGCCTTCTCATAGTTGCTGGTAACCATTGAGAAACCTAAGACACGTATACGTCTTTTCTCTTTCATTGGGGACAGAAAGCTTGCTCTACCCACTTTCCGTCATAAAAAGCTATTTAAAATGATCAACATTATCTCAAATATCAACTGCTCCGTATCCGTCAGACTGTACACTCTTATTCTTCTGAATTCATCAATTGTGTAACTGACCCGCTCGATGTTCATCCATGGATTTTGTGAGTATATCTCAAGAATCAAATTTACAGTAACGCATGACTGACAAAATAAAACAAAACCCAATATGCACCAGAAGTCAAGCAGTTTATTCAACAATAAAAATCACACTAATTATTTCCTTGTTAATCCGGATAAGTGTTACTTATCCTTCTACAGTCACTCTGTCCACATATCAGAAGGAAGCCTAATCCCTTGGGCTTAAATTTAGTGTTCCTCTAAAACAGTCATCAGATTTGGCTATCGATGCACAGTTTGGGAATCTACTTGACCAGTTGAAACCTCTTGTTCCAATCTCAGTTGGTGATCAGGGCTGGCTGAAAGCCAAGGTGGTGGATATCGCCCACCAGTTCTGTGATAGCCATCAGAACCAGAAAAGCATTCTTAACTTCTGAACACTTCAGAGGTATGGAAAAACCACAAGACAACATCGATATCATTATCCTCAGACCTAATAAAGGCTCAGGTGTCGTGATCCTGGATGAAATCAAATGTAAGTGTAAAACATCGTCTCTTCTTGACGATGAAAATAAATTCACTAAAGATTGTTTTTCAGATGACGTACAATTGTTACAAGGAACTGTGACCTCTAATCTGGTGAAAATGCTGGATATGAACGTTAGAGCTAGACAAAAATTCGATTTACTGAAACTAGCTGAATTCCGACTGCCATATCTTTACGCTTTGCCTAAAAATACATAAACCCAACAACCCGTTACATCCTATAGTGTCAGTGTACAAATCACCAACGCATAAGCTTGGCCAGTTGCTAGTAGAATTACTGGATCCCATTAAGAAGCGATTCTGTAAGTATTCCTTAACAGATACATTTGAAGTAATCCAATGCCTTAAGCATGTCAACATAAAAAGTAAATTTATGTGTTCATTTGACGTTAACTCATTATTCACCAATATCCCTTTGATTATATTTCTGTGAATAATTTTTCAATATCCATTTCTTTGGATCATTTAAAAGAGCCTACTACATTTATGTAAAAGTAATATGAAATTTACATTCGACAGCGAACATTTCCGTCAAATTGTTGGTATTGCCATGGAAAGTCTTTTGGGTCTTCTCTTAACTGACATATTCACGTCACACGTGGTAAACGTAGCCGAGAACCTAATTGACAAAACCCATCTTCATTGAAGATATGTTGACGATATCCTGATTATTTATGAAAACTCAAGTCAATCTACTTGAGTTCTAAATCGATTGAATGAAGTACAGAATAGCATATCCTTGACATGCGTAGGAGAGGAAGATAGAATACTTGCCATTCTTGGATGTATTAATTAGTCAGCGGCAGGATGGATCCATAAAACGATCTATCTACAGAAAACTTACATGGACAGGGGCAATATTTGAACTATCATAGCTTTTGTCCAGTTCAGTAGAAGTGAGCGTTAGTTAGGTGCTTATTCAGGAGAATTCAACGAATATGCAAAGATGATACTTCGGAAGATGAAAGACGAACACTGACTGAAATATTGTTGGAAAATATCTATCCATCAACATTTATTAGGCAGCACAAACTAATCAGAGCCTCAAAACCAGATTTTCAGTTTGTCGCAAAGAACGATGTCTTTGTATGTCTTCTGTACAAAGGTGACTCTCATAGTGCAATCCTTAAGCAGAAAGCTAACGCTGCTGTTAAAAGGATTTACTATGCAGCTAAGGTTCGATTAATAGAAACCACCCAACCCTTACAGCATGCGAACGACAATGTCACATCCCATTGCATTCAGATGTACGTGTGGTAACACATACATAGGGAGAACTCATAGATCCATGGAAGAGCCTCGAAACATATTCCAAAGTGGCTTCAGAAGGAAATTAAATCATCTGAACCCATAGACGTTGGTAACACGTCCATGTTCTTCGATCGCGGAACATCTCGCTGAAACAGGTCATAGGATTGACGTAGGTTCTTTCTTCAGACTTGTTTACAGAACGTTGGGGACGGATCCTTAAATTTGTTCAGGCCTTAGCTATTAGTAAGTTCAAACCACCTTTGTGTGTTCAAAAACAATTTGTTATCACGTTAAATCTTCCTTGGTAAATTCAACTATGAAAACCAAGTTCGATGTACTATTACTTTCGCTCTGTTGATTTTAATTGTTATTCGGCCTTTAATTCAGCCTTCCTACTTGACCTCTTTTCATTTTCTCACCCACTATCTTCATGAATTTTCATATAAACATCTATGACAAGTGATCAGATAGTTCGAAATGTGTTGCGCAAATACAATATACGGTTCAGATAATTTACATCTTATTGTTTTATCGGAGCAACAAAATAAAGTTATATTCTGTTTCTTGAATGAATGTATGCCACAATAGCTGTACTTCTCGACCTGAAGGTGGCACTCGACTCCGTTGGTCGAGAAGTCTGATGGCAATGTCTCTCACTGAAAGGTGCGCCGAGTAAGTACATCACCTTATTGTAGGCTATCTACTCGAATACTTGTTGGGGGGTTTTAGAGCCTATGGTGAGATGTCCAGGGAGTTATGCTCATCGAGTGGTGTCCGTCAAGGGTGCCCACTTTCTCCATCCTTATTCAATTTTATCTTAGATATTCTTATGGAGGTCTCCCTCTCGTCACCTGATTACACAGAGGTTAACCTAATCGCAGGAGAATTTTCGTTAGACCTAGAATATGCAGATGACATAGTCTAGTCGTGTTAGATGAAGACGCTGACTCATGAGATGCAGATTCTTCTGGATACTGAGTAGGAATTTAAGAATGTTTGGGATGCGTTTCTCATCACCCAAAAGAAAATTGTCGCTCCACGATTGGTCTTCAACGGTACCCCACTGGAGCTTACAATAGAGAGTGTAGTGATTGTGTCGACCATTTCATTTACCCGGGAAGTGAGTTGGGATCAGCCTTACCCTATTGGCTCAGTGGTCAATGAAGTCTCTGCACGGATACAAAAGGCTTGGCTGGCTTTCGCCAACTTATGCCACCTATGGCGCCGCCGTGATATCCCATTGTCTATGAAGGGTCACATGTACTCCACAGCAGTCCGGTCTGTTCTACTGTATGGCTGTGAAACATGGTCATTGAAGGTGGAAGATGTGAGAAGGCTTCAGGTGTTTGACCACCGTTGCCTTCGTAGTGTATGCCGTATTCCATGGTGTCACCAGTTGAGTAATTCAGAAGTCAGGGAGGGAGAAGAGGTAAGTCAGTTGACGAGGTTATGAACCTTCATCGACTGAGATGGTTGGGACACGTATTACGTATTATTTATGCCTGGTTGCCGATTGCCTTGTCACACAATGTTGGCCGTAGTAGGTTGAGACTGGAAAAAGGCCCGAGGTGGCCAGACCAAAACATGACATCAATATATGGAGTGTTTGACAGTTGGTTTGAGCCATGTGGAGCGATGCAGACTAGGTGGTTGGGGTCCATGGGACAAGAGAAACCAGTGGTTGGAGACTTTGGGTGATATGGCTCAGAACCGATGTCAGTGGCGCAGATGTATACACACATTATCCTCATCTTAACTACGCTATACGGAATCTCACATTTTTCTCATTCTTCCTGTCTGTCTTTTAGCACTTTATATTTCGTTTGGCTGAGTTTTCTTTTCACCTTCCACTTCATTGCCCTTTTTGTTTGATGTACTGATATGAGGTGTGACAACTCGAACCGTTATGCAGTAATGCCTGGTCCTATGTTGATTTGGATGGATGGATGCTACAGTCTGTTTCATCTCCCCCCTTGATGCCTATATGTGGAATTCGCATACTGTACTCACGAAAGCTGTTCAGTTCAGATATATTGTTGTTTTTAATTGCTTCAAAAGTACAATTTCTTAAATCTAAAAAAGTGGCTTTACTAGATGTCAATACTTCACTATCTACGATCATATAACTGGGGCTTAATTGTAATCGATTTACCTTCTTGAAAAATTGCCTTAAAAAATTTTCTCTTTCTTGTTCTTTACTGTTGTAACTTTGTACCCTTCTGTTTAATATTTAATTTTCAGGAATGAATAATAATTAACTATTTTTTTTCATTCATTTTAGCCTGTTAGTTTTACGTTGGAATTTGATAAGGCTAGTACTGCTTCCAAATTTCGAGAAACAGCTCTCCATCTCTCTTCAGAGTATTCAATGAAAATATCTGAGTCCGTGAACCGTTGTATTACTGGAGATCGAATATCTTATGAAGTAGGTAAAGAAGCTTTAAATACTCTTAATCCAACTCCTTCTGAACGATTACTTTGGTTACAAAATTATTGGTAAGCTTATTTAACCTTTCTGTAGTTAAATTGTATTTTTTATAAGTAGTATGACGTGTAATAGTTATGGTTAAACAAATGTTGAATTGTGACCTATTGGTCGCGATAAATTATTATTTTTATTCAACGAGAGATGTACCATGCAAAAAAAAGAAAGCAGCATTGAATTGAAAAATAACAGAAAAAGGAAGGAAATAGGGTTAAGAAACATAAATGCGCTATTAAAGAAACAACTTCGAAGACAGTACTCACTACTTTCGTTCCACTTTTCAGTAATAGCATAACCGAGAGAGCTGCAACATCATCTCTACTGGTCCTCATTTTTAGCCATATCTACCGTCATTTCAAACCACTAAGTTGTATAATCTTTCGGACGCTGTCCAAGGCGTTGCGAGTCAGTTTAAAGTGTTTACCCAGCAAAGCTATCCTTCATCCCACTACTGCACACTTAAAGGTTTCCAACATCTCAGCTGGACAGTCTGCACCTTTCCACCCGATCAAAACCAACTGTTAGAGACTTCATGAATTGGGATCACGTCTGGGTCTAACCACTGTAGCCTTTTAATATAATCCCACTTCGGTTTGCACCATACACCAAGGTAGGCGTTGCCTTGGTAGGCGTAAACAATCTCCAAATCACCTCAGTCGATAAAGGTTCATAACCATATCGACTGACTTGTCTTTCTTACCTAGTACTATGCGCTTATTCTTCACATCACATACTAGTTACATCATACGTGAGGAATGCTGTGCAGATATCTGTGATCAAAACCTGTAACCTGTATATCTTTCATGTCTGACGTGTTGCATACCATTACAAAAAGAAAAGCATACTGGTATGCTGTATACTCGTTCAGTAAGTACTCATATGTATCACTGGTACAAAAGATGTAAGGGGACAAATGGTAATTGTTTCATTTATATCCCAGATTAGATTTTGTTAACAATTAAAGCGTTGGGATTCATTGAGCTCTCTTAAATAGTTGGATTGGTCCAAGCATTGTATCACCCTTTACCTTATACTTGAACTACAAGTTGATGCCAACCTTTCCTGATGCATTGGCTAACATTTGACAGTTGCGGAACACATATGAAACGTACTCAGATTTTTGCTGAATATGTTCGCGCTACTTAAGATTTTCGTTAGCGTCTACATTTAAGAGAACTATTTCATCTGTGGGTCACGAATTGGAACCCACCAGCTAGAGGGTATCATGAGCCTCCACACAATGGATGTAACTAGTTGCGTACTACCCTTCATTACTGTTTGTTAGAGGGCAGTTAGTTGTGACAACCAAGCAATAAGTATGCTTCCGAGGGGTCTAGGCGGAGGGTAGTTCGTAGGATCACATCTGTCGAAGCATCTGTCACAATATAACAGGTGACAGAAGAAATTCTTGTCGAACCTTGCTGTTCGTTGTTATTTTGAATAGTTGCATGAGTGATTCGAAATTAGCTACCTATCTCGGTAAGCCTTGCCTAGTCAAACACTGCCATTAGGCCTTGTTGTCGACAGATTCAGATTTTACTATCAGTTTAAGGGATATGGCTAGTATTGGGTGCCGGTAAGTATACCTATCTTCAAAAACCATTCGGAAGGTGATAATCTGATTGATACATTTTCATTCAGATTCGAATTTTTTCTTGTTTTCGTGAATTTATCGTTTGCTGACTTCAGATAGATGCCAGATGACTAAGGTTTATGGAATGTCATCCAGATAACACAACCACTATTATTGGATAAGTTTATGCTTTACAGTCTCATACAAATGTTTGTTTTACTCACATAGTTACACACCGCCGTATAACTTGTTTTTAAGCAATAGTTAATTGATTCTATCGGAGGATGATAAAATAATCGATTCATTTTTTGATAATAATGGATTATTACCATGGCGTGACCGATTGATTAGGACTTATGCTAGTAAAGTGATCAAATAACTGTTCATGTTCGACTTTCTCTAAAACCTAAGATAATTAGTGAGTACAATGACTGACGGATTAATAATACCTTATACTGTATCGTATCATTTCGTCTAATTTAATCAAATAAAACATTTTGCTCTATAAAAGAAGGAAAAAGTAATCGAAATTATAAAACTAAGAATGTTTTATTCATTGGACATGATAGCAGAGGTCACAAGATAGTCAAGGAATTTATACCAGAGCCGTCTTTACTGGTTCTCTAAAAATTTTTAGTTTGATCAACGTCAAGTCAGTGCTCCTATATGGTTCAGAAACTTGGCGCGTTACGAAAAGCATTCCCAACAAACTACAGAAATTCATCTACAACTGCCTACACTCGTTACTAAAGATCAGATGGCTAGAAAGAATAAGCAACAAGAATTCTTGCCTGACAACGAACCAACCAAGAACCTATCGCTAAAGCAATATGCAGAGGAAAGTGAAGATGGATTGGATATACACTGAGAAGGCCGACTGAGGACATCACGCTCCAGGCCAGACTCTCGAGTGGAATCCAAAGGGGAAACGACGAGTTGGGTGTCCAACTTCAGAGTGACATGGAGGAGGTCATGTGAGGAAGAAACGAAAGCTTGTGGGCAGTGGTAGAGTCAGGTTGAAAAGACTGCAGAGAAGAGAGTGCGATGGAAATGTGCTAGTGAAGCGCTATGTTCCACTAGGAACCCAAGGGACAAATAATAATAATATGAAATACTTTTGATTTCATTTTTCTTTTTACCATTGAATAATGATCCTTCCCTATTTTTTTCTCTTTTTTCTACTCTTCGTAACTTCACAAAGGAAACATGTTGAACATTCGTCATCGATTTTTAATACTTCATCACCATGTTTAACCCAAACTGATGTGAATATGATGCCTGTTGGAGTCAATGGTGAAAGTACGCATCATTATTTAGGTGTATCACACTCTCCACCTAATTTATCATCAGATGTATCCAGTATTAGTGAAACTCATAATAATCTGCATAGTAGTTGTTCAAGTATTGGTTCATTAAATAACATCAATGTGAAACAGCCACAGTCATACGAAACTGAGAAGTCTACTAATAATATTCATAATAATTCTAGTTTAAGCAATAGTAAGCAGAAAACAGCTACAAAACATTCATCCAAGCTACATCATTCTAAATCATCCATATCATTACATTCATCTAAATTATCTCATCCACTTGATGACAGGTCTACTTCTGTTAATCATCATCAATGCATAGAATCTGTTGAAAAGAATTCGATTAGTTTCTCTAATAACCCTTCACATTGTGTAAGTTGATGATTGGAATTCGTTCGTATATATATGATTTTCCGGCTTAATTTATGCTCATTCCATATTTTGATACTGGGTGATGATTGAAGGTGAAATGAAACTGCGTCAGTATTCGGACCAGGGACCACCAGATTTCCAGTTTTGGTAGTACTCACACTGGCTGCCAAGTTTAGGACTTCACATTCTAATCGTCTAAGTCTACTTGAATTAGGGAGTGGGAGCATCATGCTGATGATCATTTTTGACTATCTAAGGTAGACGTGATTTGACCGACTAGTATCACCAAAGGTGATGAGAATGAAATAAAAATCTGCTCAGTACTCAGGTAATCATAGCTCAGTTAGTTGAGAGCATCAGGCCAGAAACCCCTGTGGTCAATGGTTCCAATCCTGCTGTGATCCAAATTTTGTGGATGAATATGAGTTGTATAAACTCACTGTTTCATTGGTAACCCTCACTAACAATTTTTTGCCTGGAAAGACGGTCGAATAATTAGCTCTGTTGGGATATGAAATAGTGTGTAAAGATGATACATTTTACGCACAGTGTTCTTCGAAGGTAGAAATAATTAGAGTGAAAATGTGATAATTATATCATCGAACATAATATCATAACTAAATAATTGAATATTTCAGCATCTCATTACATCATTGGCTTGGCTCTTGTAGATGAGTTGCTAAAACCTTCTGGTTAGTAGTTTGTAAGCCTTTAATCTAAACCCTTCTGTTAATAACGTTTTCGTATGAATTCAGCCATCTGCCTGTATACAATTAAGATTGCTTTTTTAGCTAATACTAATCTTGAGTATTCATTCACATCAAGAGAAATGTATGTATTGGAGTCGATCAATCAACTGTCAGATTGAAGTACAGATAAAATACTGATATACTTTTATCTGTTATAACTATGCAACATAATGTTTTGTAGACCATGTTAAAAATCATTCAGGTTTTGATGGTGAAAATCAATGTTTAGCTGTAAGATGTAAGTAAATAAATAAATGCTCATTCATTTTAACAGTTTTCTTGAATGATAAACGTGTATATATACAAGTGTCATATTGCTTATTAGCTGCTGCCTATTGAATTCTTCTATGATATTTGGCACTTTCAGCTGATAAGCGATTTCACTAAGTCTTAGTGTTTATTAAAGCTATCCATCTGCAGCAATGAGACATTAGTTTAACAACTATGGTGGGATTGTCTATGCACTTTGAAATGTACTCCAATGTGGCACTATTCAATCTCTTCAAGTTATTGTGATTCAGTAAGAAAGATGAGATGATAACAGTGTGTTACACATTCATTTATCCAACATTTTACTCTCCTTGTACATGAAATGCATATTTTTTTTCTGATATTCATTTTGAAAATATGAATGATGCAACAGGGATAAACTAAACTAATTGCATAGTGATAACTTATTTTAGAAAACGATTTCTCTAAGGGTTGGACCAACAACTCATAACGTCTGATAAGTGAGCTGGCTTTAATGTGTTTACACCATAAACTTGAGCTTCTCATATGCATGTAGCATCGACTCTTGTTCCAACATTTTGGTTGAGAGGACTAGATGTAGTATGAAGTCTACCACAAGGCATGCATTTGGCTGGATTTTTTTGAAGCATATTCTTACTGTGTCCTTATTATTACAGTCATAATTTTTGACCAACACACTTTTAAAAGTATATTGTCTCACAGTTGGCATCATTCATGCTACTAGTGTGTGGAAAAATTGTCTAATTAAAAACAGTGAGTAGTATCAGTGTTTGCGGGCTAAAGAGATGGTCAACTGTTGTATGGCATTTATTGGGATAATTAAATATTATAGTGGGAACAAGCGGAAATCTTAAAGAGCACTGTACTGACTTTTAAATGCCACTTCATGGGTGAGTGAATTGGTTTGATGCATTTCACCACTTTATTCTTAAAACGGGAGTGCCTTAAAGATTCATACAACTTCTTGAAGCTGGAAAAATGCATGCCAAATAAACTCATATTTCTGATCAGTATATTGAGAATACCTTGGATTTAGTCAGCGTTTTTGCCTAACAAGAAAATTTCATCTGCTTACTTCAAGTTAACTAGATGTCCTCCAGAGAGTTGGCCAATCCCTGTAAAATTTCAGGTACTTAGGGTTATGTTCATTAGTACGTTTATTATGAGGTTGAATGGGGACATTGGTTGTCGTCACTTCAGATGATAACTCCCTTTAAGCCCTTAAACGACTGTGTCGGTTCAAGTAGAGAGCTCTAATTAGCATCATATGGAGTTGATCGATGATCCCTTCATAGGTAATTACTACCACTACACCTCCCGGTCCACATTCACATTGTAGCTGGGAAAACACCTAGGTGATTGAGGTGAAATTAAGACCTGGTTAGCAGCTGTGAGTGTTCCAATTCTTCTGATAGAAACTGAGGCCACTGGTTTCAATCCTGCAGCTTCCTAGACTTTTATTTCACTCCCACTCTTCCCCCGTGTCGACACTTTGTCATTAAACACCAGCTTATTTACGATAGCCCAAAGTTCTCAATCAATCACGTAATAGTAAATCAAATAATTCAATAAAGATCACTTCTATTTCGTAATTTTTTGCTTTTTACTTTTGTTTTGTCACGTAGACAATAGCAACAGCTCACAGTTGTACGGATCTCACTTTCTCTCCCATTCCTTATGATGATCAGTCTGATAAAAGTGAAAAGTAAGTATGTAACACCCTTTGATGATTTCCGCAGGTTAGTCATACAAATACTTTCATTTGTCTTACATTATTCGACTTCTTTACAAAACTAGCTTCGTAGGATACAGGTTATTACAACTGCATTCATAACTCCTTTTATTGAGTTTCTGTATCCCGCTTCAAGTAAGATGACCAGTCATAATAATCAAAACTATGACATTATTACGTGTTGTTTTTTTGAAAGGCATGCATAGAGCCCAAGTTTGACCATTTACTGAACCCGCATCCTATCAATTCTCATAGATGTTAGACAGAAGGTGCATTTCTTGAGTGGATCCTTGTTGACAGATGCATATACAGTGTTCGACTAACCAATGTAATAAGAACTCAAAAGAATCATGTTAAACCGTAGTTTCTTGTATCAATCTCTTTCATTGACTACATTTCAAACATAGTCTAGGATTAACTCTTTCCAAATCTGCTTTACCCTTATATGAACAATGAAAATTCCAGATATCGTTTTCGTAGCCATAGACTTCAATGGATATCTATGCAATTCATTTAGGAGGTTTCCAGGGATTTGTTGGTTTGTTATTGAAAAAAGTCACCTATTGTTTATTCCTTCAGTCTTAATTTTTTTTATCTACTCTAAGACAATTGTTAGCCTTGGCTATAACAGCGTAGTTAATTTGTTTCAGTTTTAGCCTTTTATATTCCTTAACCCCCTGATTATTTTGTATAATCTGTGTTTACATAGTGAAACTTTGAGTTAAACTAAGATTCTATCACTGAAGGATGCTTTTATATATCCAATTTGAAGGCTTGTTGGGATTTTATTGATTTCAGTTTGGTATTCATTATGGACTGACCTCAGTTAGAGAAACATTAGAAACCTGGGAGTACTGGACAGTTGTTTTTTCCTAGTGTAGGACTCTTCAGCAGTGCGCACCCATAACCGCTGCAAGGATCGTACCTAGGACTTTCAGGTTCCATGGTCAACACATTACCATTGAGCTAGCCACTTGGTTGGAATCCAATGAACCATATTTCACACTATCAGTTCACAATATAGCGCGACATCTGTCCAATCATGTCATTGAGTACCTGTCCTCATGTTCGACTTGGTTAAAGGTTATACTCGACTGATGAGATCTTCTGAGAAAAGAATTAATGTGTTATTTTGCAAGTAGTCTTTTTCTTGCTTGACTATTCATATTCGTAAAAGTGCAAACTGATTACTTGCGTTGAAAACAGCTTTAGTAAACACTATGGAAATGTGTGTGTGTGTGTGTGTGCCAGCATATTTGAGGTAGTTTGACTAAGGTTCTTGATAAATGAACAGTGATAGTTTTGATTAAAATACAACACCACCTATTATGTGGAAGTGATTCTTTCAATGTGTAAAAATGAGTATTGCTTCATGGTTCATGATTTCTAGAGTCATCAGAATGAGATTCAGATGCATGACGCTTAACAATGTAACTTAAGAAACATTAAATATTACTAATTTGAACTAATTTAAAAATAATACAATACTGTATTTCTGTAATTTTCATCATCAAAAATCATCAACATTGACTTTCTTCACTTTTTCATATATAGGTATCTGGAGCCAAGAATTTTTCGTGCTCGTTTTAATCAAGCTGGTAATTTAATTCAAAAAAAGTTAACTGAACGTATGAATGAATATTGTAAGAATGAAAATATACGTTTATATGTTGGTACATGGAATGTGAATGGTCGCAGTGATAATTGTATGCAATTAGATGATTGGCTTATGCCTCCTGATGGCCAACCTCCAGCTGATATCTATGTATTTGGGTAACTTTTTAAATATGTTTCTTTGTTTAATGAAAAGAGTTTTAGCTATTACATCATAAGGCATATCTGTACTATTCAATATTATTGTACATGGATGATGATTATAGTTCAATTGATTATCTGTTATTTGACCAACGTTAATTTAATTAATAAACTTGGATGTGATGTTAAGAATAGTAATTAATCTTATCCTATGTATATGTGACATCTCTCTGTTTCATCTTTTTTACTTATACAGATTTCAAGAAATGGATTTAAGTCTCAGTGTGATTACTTTAAACAAAACCAGTTCTTCTGGACCAGAAGAAAAATGGATTCAACAATTGGAAGAAGCTTTAGATGGTCTATTGAAACGACCTTCATCAACATCTATATGGGCGCATAAAACAGGTGTTGTTAAATCGTTTCCTGCTAAGTGGTCTCATTTCACTGGTGGAGGTTATTTACGCGTGGAACGTGTTCGTTTAGCTGGTATGATGATGATTGTATACATATCCGCTCGTTTATCAAGTCACTTACATCGTGATGAAATCTCTTGTCAAGTGGTTCCCACTGGTGTTTTCAACGTTATGGTTAGTGAATAAACATCATAATTCTACTTTGAATAAGAACTGTTGTATCCAAGACTGTTTTGTATCCACTGGTTAGTAGACTATATTATATTTATATTCTAGCAGTAGGATCAGATTCGTAGTTTCTTTTGAGCTACTATCATTCATTATTGATTATGTAACTCTTGCGAGTTTAGAGTGTGAGGATTATTTTCCAATGATCGTAATGTATACGTATAGTCCAAGTAGCAATACACCAATCATTGTTTACAGACTCAAATCATAAATGTATCTACTGTTTACACTCAAAAGAGGTGACTTGAACAATGAGCAAGACATTTTGAAGGGTAGTTTGACTGGCGTCCATCTAGTTGTATTCCAAATGGAACATAAAGTTATAGCTTCCTACTCCTTTAAAAGTTGAAAAGGCTATAAGTAAAGTGAAACAAAGCGGGACGCTAAGCCTCTACTGCCTTGCACCAAAGATATGTAAACCACCGACCAAACATTATTGGTTAGAATAAATGAAATGTTTCTCTACGTATAGGAAACATACATGATCCCTTATTAATTTTCTCAGTTACTGATTGACCCAGTTTTCAAGAAAGGTGAGATATCCTTAGTGTAAAAATAAAACTTGGATATTATAGTAGAGTAGTTTTCCATAGTAGATTACTTATTTGGTATACTACACAGTGATACAGTACTATTTACTGGATGACGTTCCAGGTAGAATTTATTGCTCAGAATCATATCAGAGTTGCAAAGTAACTTTCAAACTTCACTTGTGTAATATGCGAAAAATCAATCTTGTTTCATGTGTTGTCTGTTGATTCGATGAACAAAGATTCTGTAATACTTCTTTCTCTTCACCCTAGCTATGGTGAATTTTAGAACTGCATTCTATCCTACCCTATTGTATGATTATGAGTCATAGCATGCAGAGCGATAGCCGAGTTTCCCTCCTGATTGCTTGTGTCATTAGGATTAATGATCTCATATTTGACTAGATTTTCCTGCTCCACTCTTCTGACTGACCCTGATCAGTTACTTTGACCTATGTACTTGACTTCATTATATTATATTTAATAGATTAGGTTATTTTGCCTGATCGTATCTACTGCATCTCTTACTGGACTAAATCTCTCTTGGGGTAGATTTATGAGTTGAAATGCTACTCTAATCCCGGCATTATTAATAATCCTACGTGAAATATTTTGATATACCTTCTTTATATAGTAACACTAGTGAGGATTTGAATATATTGATCTTTCGATAAACTGTTATGAAGTATTTATATCGCTTCAGTGTATTTGTTTCCCCTACTTAGATTCTTTGACTTACCAGTCCGACTCTTTGTTCGATTGCTCAAATATCTCACTAAGCTTACCTTAGCAGATATAGATAGGTACCTATCTATTCGAATATGTTGGTTCCTTATAAACACTTCTTCTCTTCTCTTGATTTTATAATCCGACGTAAGTAATTCTCCTTATTGATTTTCTAATTCATAAGTGAATCGGATTACGTCTACTATCAAGTTCATGTGTGTGTGTGTGTGTCAAAACTATGGACATGTCATGGTTTCAACACAATTGATGTATCATCTAGGTATTGCTACCATACTTTTGGGGTGGGTTGAAATATTTCTAATGCCATTTGTCTCCAACTTTCCACAACTATGTCTTCTATGATCAGATATATTGGAGACCTCACACACATACTGTGTAGTGGTTAACTCAACTCTGTATTCATCTTTGATTTTTGATCACCATTACCATGATGTATATGAGAACCAGCAGATTAGTAACCTACCTAGTAGTTAGACTTCAAGTCTAAGAAGAAAAATAGGTTAGTCAGTTGATGAGGTTGTAAACCTTCATCGACCAAAATAATTGGGACATGTACTACGTATGCTTCATCATTTTGTTGTAAAAATGTCAAAAACTACCAGAGTATCGATTCATGAAGTCGTCGACTATTAGTCTGTGAAGTATGGCGGAATGTGTGTGTGTGTGCGTGTGTGTGGTATACATGTTTGTGTTCACATGACAATTGAAATTGGTTTATAAAAACTTTGGGTCACAAGGCTCAGAATCGATTTCAGTATTGCAGATGCATTCATATATTATCTTCATACTGATAATCTTCTGTGTTATTGCATTATTTGTTTAACTCTCTCTTCTTACTTTCTTATAACATTTTCTAGATTTATGTTATTTTTAATAAATTATCATGAAATCACTGTATTTTTTCCTTTTAGGGTAATAAAGGCGGAGTTGGTATTCGATTGACTATATTCAATTCTTCTTTATGTTTTGTGAATTGCCATTTGGCTGCAGGTGAAGCGAATCTTGATCGTCGTAATCAAGATTTCAGAGAAATAGTTCGTAAAATGATATTTGAATTACCAATGAATTCTAAGAATGTTATTCATCCCCCTGAGAGATCATTTATTTTAGACCATGAGTAAGTTATCTCTTTCTTAAAATTTGATTAAATATTCAAAAGTCTATAGAAATTAGAATGAATTATTCAGTATCTTTATATCCAGTAATGAAATGAATAATCCTGCAGTAGTGTTCAGCATTCAAGTGAACAATAAATAACATTTTAAAGCAGTTTGTAGACTAGTGCCAAGATTTAGAAAGCCTGAAGAATCATCATTGGCATCAAGGTTAACATAGGACCCGGGCATTACTGCATAACAGTCCAAGTTATCACGCCTCATATCAACACATCAAGTAACGAGGCAATAAAATGAAAAACGAAGAAGGAAAGAAAAATTGGTTAGAGTAAGTACAAGTAGAAAGTAGTAAAAGAGAGGAAGGAAGACTGAGATGATGAAATTAAGTGTAGCGGTTAAGATGAAGATAATGTGTGTATGCATCTGCGCTACTGATATCGATTCTGGGATATATCATCACCTAGAGTCCCCAACCACTGGTTTCTCTTATCATGCGGACCCCAACCAGCTAGTCTGCGTCTCCCCACATAGCTCAAACCGACGGTCAAGGACTTCATACCTTAATCCCATGTTTTGGTCTGGCCATCCCAAGCCTTTTTCCAGTCTGAACCTACTTCGGCCAACATTGTGCGACAAGGCAGACAGTGATCAGGTAAACTAAGGTTCACAACTTCATCACCTGTCTTACGTCTCCTGCCTAAAGCTCTGCATCTGACTTCTGCATTACTCAACTGGTGACACCACGGAATACGGCATACACTACGAAGGCAACGGTGGTCAAACACCTGAAGCCTTCTCACGTCTTCCACCTTCAATGACCATGTTTCACAGCCACACAGTAGAACAGACCGGACTACTGTGGAGTACATGTGACCCTTCATAGACAATGGGATATCACGGCGGCGCCATAGGTGGCGTAAGTTGGCGAAAGCCAGCCGAGCTCTTTGTATCCGTGCAGAGATTTCATTGACCACTGAGCCACTAGGGCAGGGTTGATCCTACTTCCATGGTGAATGAAATGGTCTACACACTCAATCACTACACTCTCTATTGTAAGCTCCAGTGGGGTACCGTTGAAGACCAATCGTGGAGCAACAATTTGCATTTGGGTGGTGAGAGACGCATCTCAAACATTTTCAAATTCCCACTCAAAGTGTTCGGAAGACTCTGCATCTCATGAGTCAGCGTCTTCATCTAACACGACTAGACTATGTCATCTGCATGTTCTACGGCTACCAAAAGTTCTCTTGTATGATGAGATGACGAGAGGGAGACCTCCATAAGAACATCTATGATAAAATCGAATGCGAATAGAGAGAGTGGACATTCTTGACGGACACCATTGAAAAAGGCACTACACCGTTTAATCAAGTTGACGCAATACATTTAGTAGCCACTTCAACGCATTCTGAAGGAAAATAGATGTTAAAGCTTGTACTGTTTTGCAGAAAACGGGAATCATTCCCATTACTCACTTATAGATGGTTAGTTTATATCCGCAAAGTAATGTAATATCCAGGAACGCCACTATTGTTGCTTAATAGCAAACAAACTTGTCAACATATAATTCCAAAACAACTGTTGTCAAACCATTTAATCAAGGTTTTTTTATTCCGCATTACACCAAAATCCTTTTTTGTAGTCGTTTACCGTCACTGAATATCTTACTTACTTATCTGACTGTTGGACATAACCAGAGATTCTACTTAGTAAAAATGAGATGAACTGGGTTCTCTTGTGTACATTTTTACTGAGCTAACTAACGGCGAATAACGAATCAGTTCTATGTAATTAGGTTCCCCTACTTTGTTATTTTGTGCAATTTTACTTGATACCATTCATGCTTTCTTACGAAGTTTACATGATTAGATGTTCTGATAGCACCACTAGTGCTCAAGTTACAATTTATTCCTAGTCAGCAATAAATTCAAGCATAAGTATTGTCTGGACCGTGGCTTATCAATACCCACGGTAGACACGTAGGTAACAACTCTGTCGATTACTGTTGGAAGGTTTCTCTCAGCGATGCGTGAGCCTTAGGTGCAGGAAAATTAACATGAGAAGATGTATCGAAACTCTGCTGAATGATGAGATTATTAAAGCTGCATTAATTAAAAACCGACTCGGCAGTTAGCAAAACTTGGAAAAATTACTCATCGTGTGAGTGCGAGTAGTGGTGGGTGGCGAAAACAAGAGGGATAGGAAAGGTAATGTCCGGCAATCAATTTTGCTTTTTGCGGATACCGGCATGAAGAAAAGACCATCATTGACAAAGATGGTACCCTAGTGGCATCTCAAGACAGACGGCTAGTAGAACGTTGGGTGGAAAACTTAGAAGCACAGTTCAACTGGCTAACAGCAACACTTTAGTTGCCCACCATCCAGTTTGAACTTGAATGGGACAAAGATGTCGGTCCTCCCACTCTCTGGGAAGTTGAGAAGCTTGTTTCTCAGCTGAAACGGCGTAAAGCAGTATGATGTAGTTGTTAACCACCAGACGTTTTTAAGGATGGAGGTAGGAAATCTCTGAGTAAAGTGACGGAATTAATATTTAGTGTGTAGGAACAGAGGTAGTCTCGTCAGGCTGGTCTACTTCACTGGTTATTACAGTCTACAAGAAAGAAGTCTTGTGACAACTACTCTGGAATCTTGTTTTGCTTGGCTTGGGGTTCATAAATATCTGACACCTATCGAGAGCTCGACAACGACAGACAGGTTTCAAACCTGGACGAGGTTGCATCGATCAAGTCTTCGCCTTCTGATAACTTTCGGAACATAACGTACTTATTGGCGGCCGACACTAACCATATTTCTTGCCCTGAAGAAAGCATCTGACTCTCAACCTTGAAATGTTGCGGCCATGTCTGACTATGAAGGGAGTACCAAGCAAGTATATAACTCTGAGCAAAGCTCTCTACTCGAACTCACGCAGCCGTGTAAGGGCTTACAGAGAGTCATCATCAGAATTGACGACAACTAGTGGTGTCCGTCAGGGATTCTCACTGTCACTGTCACCGTTCCTGTTTAACTTCATTATAAGGATACTAACGGAACTAACAAAACGAAGGGACTCAGCCAGTTTCTGCACATTTACGCAGTAGGTAATGACAGACGCCTATTGTGTGACAGCTAGTGATACTACCTAGCTACGTTAATCTCGGTAAGTGGGGCGGGGGTCAAACTCGTAACCCATTGGTTGAAAGTCATCTCCCTAAACGAATGAGCCACAGCTCCACCCAGTAACTAATGCATTGAAGAAAATGCCGAACTGTGGTCCTAACTATTATTGTAGCACTACAGTACCAACCCCACTTATTATAGGAGCGCTAAGGATACTAACCCTTTTTTTCTAGCTTGAAGTAGGCCAGTTGCGGTTACAATTTCGCATTCATTGCCTTAACGTCGAGTTTTAAAGTTAATAAACCAAAATTGTCGACTAGCTAGTATGCGCATTAATGTTTACATACTAAAATTGCTGTTTTTACGGTTCATGTTTTGATTGAAACCCTTCACATTCAATATAAAATAACAGATTTCTACTTGAATGGTGGAGTTGCACATTCACTGGTGTATTTATCGTTCTACCGTCATCATTATAATTTTAATTATGTAATTTAAAGTTGTGTTAACTTTTTTTTAAACATTATCCTAGCATTATTTTTGTATTTGGAGATCTGAATTATCGAATTGTTGGTTTGGATTCGGGATATGTTCGAAGAAGTATTTTTGGAAAAGACTTCAATTCTTTACTCAGAAATGATGAAGTTAGCCAATTACTTTTTATTTATTTTAACTCTGATGTTATTTTTTCTATACACTAATTGGTAGTTGGTTGACAGCAACCAAGGTAGTATTGATTAGATTCTGTTAGTCAAGTGATGTAATATAGGTAGGAAAGTAATTGAAGTGATACTTCTCTTCATCTTGTATTTATCCCCGCATATTCAAATTTTCTAAACAGAAGTTTCTTACTTATCAGGGTGTATCAATATGGTGTAAATCCAGTTCTGATGAAATTTAACTTCTTTTTCTATACTCATATGTGCCTCATTTCGTGTAGCGTTAACCCTACCGCTTACATAATCCGATTATATGAATCAAAAGAATATTGAATATTTGTTCAGGACTTTCCAATGAGGTGTTTATAAGCACCAATCACAACTCTTAATTCTATTACTAATCCCCTGTAAACATCCTGACCTTTCACTATTAATTCTATATAGTATTTCCATTTTTCACTATCCAATGAAGTGTAGTTGTTTTGTACCTCGTTAATATTTTTGTGTATGATTTGTTAAGTTATCATATAATTTGTCAGGGAAGTACCTTTCAGATGAGACATTTACGTTCTGTTGAACGGAGTGAAGAAGCTGCTTTTCACTGTCTTGTATGAAAGTTGTCGGTTATAGATTTGTTAAGGTATTTCATTGAACTGCATACTGTTTAACTTCATACTGGTACGGAATCAATATTGTCAATCGTGTATAACCTACAAATCTTAACCACCTTGAACATTTCACCTTACTAAATCAGATCAAATAGTCTTGACACATTCACATTTATGTATAAGCATATGTATATATCCTCTAAGGTAATATGACTCACTGTTTTATATTTTAATAGTCAGCGATTTTAGTTTATATTCAATTATTTTGTTACATGGTTTTGTTCAAATGAGGTTACAATTGTAAGGAAGTATATATATATATATATATATATATATATATATATATATATATATATATCCGCTGTAACATCAGACAACGAATGCATGCAATCAATCAGCTGATCCAATACACAATCAGCTGATTTCACTTGTTTTATTGGCTGAATAATGATGTGTTTCAAACTTAAAAGTGCTATTACTAAATAAATAGTGTAACAACACATAATCGCTTCCAATCCTATAAAATACTCTCCCTTTGATTGCGTAATGCTAATTTAGCGTGCTGAATTGGTTGATGGAGAAAAAATGAAATGAAATATCACTAATGAGATAAATTTTAAAAAGGTTGCTTTAAAGTACTATAGGTAACATCAGTGACCACTTTCCATATTGTTCCCTAAATAAATATTGACTGAGTATAAATTTCAGTAACTTTTTTTATGTCGTCACTTGTCATGAAAACTATACCCGTTGCGCAAGAAGTGGCTATCATGACTCAGTGACCCAGTGGATAACTGTCTGGCGTTTGAAGCCATCGGTCCCGGGTTTTAGTCTTAGTGAGAACAATATCGCTCAGTCGGAGGCTGGTACATCTAGCTGAGGAGTCCTAAACACGACGAAACGCTCATCGTGGATTCTACTGCTAGTCACTATCCATCATTAAAGTAGTTAGTATAGTTTGTGCGTTTATTTATTGACAATTAAATAGAGTTGTTCGGATATCGGTAATGTGGTTCATTAGCTTGCGTATTCAACTCTCAAGCAGTCTGTTTTAATTTCAGCGCCTACTTAATCTACTTTGATCTGAGCAATCGGATATTGTTATCAGTCGTCATATAATCAGTGTGGTTCATATAGTGAAGTCCATAAATACATGTACCGGACTAAATTGCACTTATTTATTTCGATTTATTATAGGAAGCAAGATGAAAAAAATTATCAACTAAGTTCTAAAGTTATGTTCATTTGCTGACCAATGTGTTTGTTTGTACTACTGAGTGGCTTTAAAGATCACTGTAACAGCTTCAGAAATTGTCAAACAGGTTTCAGTATTTCATGGAAAAAGCTACCTGTTTAGTCAAAATAGAGAAGCCTAGTAGTTTAGTGGTGCAGTTACTAGTGTCATTTCTAATGAACCTAACTTCACTTCGTCTTATTTATTACTATTACCTGCTGGATTTTTTTAACCACCCTACCACTCACGTCCCACCAGCTCATTCAGAGCGAAGACAAGTGTATACCACTAGCCCACCACGAATAATAATAATAATAATAATAGTCTGTTCGATTAAATACGTGGAAAATGTAGAATGTGGGTGGTATGATCAGAATGTTAGGGAATACGAACAAATAGTAGTGAAGTTAAGGTTATTCGTTATTGATTGGCTGTTTCTCTCATTCGTTTTGCATTAGGATACAACAAAAGTGAAACAAAGCTCACCCTTGTAAAGCATCTGACATCATTCTACGTTTCAATGCTGTTCGTCTGTGAATAACTGTTATCACGTATCTGTACAGACCGGTTGTAAAGACTGAATGATAATAACAATAATAATAGTAATGGTAATAATAACAATAATAATAATAGTGGCTTTATTCTGAAAGATATTTTGGGAATACTGTACAGAATTGTCAGCATATCATGTAGCATCAATTGGAAAGAAACAGTGTACAAGCGCATTTGATAGACTGAAATAAGTATAAACTACGTATAAAAGATAAGAATATTTACTCCATCTACAACACTCTTGAAAACGCTGAGTTGACTTGAGTAAACAATCACATAAGCAATTGGATTCATGATATATAAATAACAACAAGGTGTATAATGTTTAATCAGTTTTGTTTTAAAAACAAAAGTTGATTAGTTAGCTCATTTATAATACTTTGTTGATCGCACAGGTGACGAGTTTTTATGTTTAGTAGTAGTAATAGGTGAATGAAGTTTGATGTACTTGTTCCTTGTTTTTCCATATGACCAACACGCAGAGAGTTTTGATTGAAGAGGATGTTAGTCATCTGATAAAATAACTTTATGTAGATGTTTGCGTGAGTTAATATATTTGTTCACAACTGTTTTAAGTAGAAGGTTTATTGGTACACCAGTAGTTCTGCTGATAATCTTCAAATTTCTGCTCAATATAGCATAGTCTTTTTCAATAGCCCTGGAACAGGAACGTTAGAATAAAGTTTGGAAGAAATCATACTTGTAACATTCTCCACTACACAGTCACCAGTAGAACTAGAATTATGAGACCTAAGCAGTTTGCATAGGTTATGTTGATGTCTGAAACTAAGGTTTATAGTCTGACATTTTTATGAATTAAGCACAAGAACATTCACGGAGGATCATCTTCTAACATTTGATAGGAAATCGTACAGTCGGGAACAATTTGTTGAAGAGGAGACAGGTATAGGAACTGTTAGATCATCCGCATGTTTAATAAAATTGATACTGGCTAAAGATGGTAAGTTATACAGAAAGGGAAAAGACCAGGAGAAAGGATGGCACCTTGGGGAATACTAGCCTGAATAAGGAGTAAAGTGCAGTGCTTCCCTCTATGAAAAGTATATTGTTTCCTCTCAGAGAAATAGGAATACAGATAGATGGTTTCGCTAGACTCAGTATTTTTCTCGGTTAACTTGTCTACGAGAAAAAAATCTTGTGACAGAATCGAATGCTGAAGTCTATAAAGGCACATTGACATACTTGGCATTTCTATCAAGATTACAGGCAATATTGTGATATAAGACAATGGTGGTATCTCGAATTCTTTCGCTTTTGTACGTTACGGTGTTTTGTCGTATTGGTCATACTCAGTAGATCAATAGTCTTTTGTTCGTCTTCTACTCCAGAATCCACGCGATTATTGGTGTATAGCTTTTATCAAATTTCCTAATTCCACGAACCAATTGATTTTTCTTCTCTCTAATAAATGTTAATTGTCACTAAGAAGTTGCATAAACAGTATCACTTAGTTTGTATTTAACATACTTTGTTTAAAAGACAGTTTGATGAACAAAAAACACTCTTCCCGATAACTTCTCCCCCAGCTTCTACAGTTATAAATCCATATTGTTTATTCAATGAATAAATGTACGTTAATAATGGTGAGATTCCATCTGAGAGTGAATCTTTACTACAGTTTAAAATAATTATTAATTGTAGATGATAAAACGACACTATAGTCAAAATCAGTCATCCTAGAGAGTTGATGATTTCGATGGTAGTAAACGGCTGTAACTGTTTCTTTTTCACACATAATTCAGGCTTTTTTAAACTGAATGACTACAGCTCCTGCTATTTGAAGTATTCTGTGTCCTGTAGCCTTTGGTAAATTAATGAGGATAAGGTAATTAATAAAAATTGATTGATTCATATTCGCTTCATGTTCGGTCTATTTGAACTAAGCTAACTAATATGGAGCTAATATATTCACATTTAACCATGTTTGGATGTGTTGACTAGCCCGAAAAACTAAATTCCTAGAATCTTTGCCAATATAACTAGTTTCACAGAAGCAGTTTAATTGGTGAACACAACAAAAAGTAACCAGCCTATGTATCTGAAAGTTTTTCTCATTTGATATTCAGTGGATAGATCTTCAAAGCTTCTGAATTATCTCGCGTGACTCTTCCCCCCCCCCCTTAACTGTATTCCGAAGTAGATCGCTGTATTTAACGACGTTGATTGTGGATTATTCCTTAGACTAACTGTATTACTGATTATCCCAGTCTTTAAGAACAATGAGAAATTATCTAGCAATAACGGAGACAGTGTGTAAGATTTCAGGTTCTGTAATTATCCAACATCTAAGTGGAGTTCAGAAACAGCAAATCTAAGGAAGTGAGGCAGGTTTCGAACCTAGCCGTAAGTGTATCACATTGGCATTCACTTCACCAGATTCTGGAACGCATAAACTTGACGACGTTCGACTCTAGCTGTATTTCTAGACTAAGTTGGCATTCGATTCCATCCACGCAGAGGTCTTATGGCAGTGTTTCTCACTGAAAAGGGTTTCGGGTAAAGTACGTCATGAAATTAAAGTCTTGGTATTTCACCCACTGAGGACCTTCTGAAATCTATGTTCGGCTTTCGAATGGTGTCCACTATCTCCATTCTTATTTAGTTGTCATAGATGTGCTTATGCAGGTCTCCCTGTCCTAATTTCATTGTACAAGTGTTGACCGTGTCGCCACCGGCAACTCAGTAACCCTAGAGACTACGTGTATGACATAGTGGTGTTAGGTGGATGCAGTGACAAGATGGAGAGTTTTTTGAACACTGTGAGTGATAATTTGAGAATGTTTGGAATATATTTGTCTGTGTACACAACTGTAAATTGTCGTCTCAGAATTGGTGTTCGTTGGTGGGTCGTGTAACTATAGGAAGTGATACGGTTGAGCGTGTCGATAAGATCACCTACTTGTGGATTGGGGTTAGTTGTGGTGGGTCGATTATTGACGAAATTTCTGCATTGATAGAAAAGCTTCGCTTGTTGTTTGCCACTCTTCGCCATTTATGGTACCTACATGATATCCGAATACCGCTAAAGAGTTGAGTGTACTGTGGTGCTGCAGTTTTTGCTTGTAGTGTGTGGCTGTAAAAGATGGTCACTGAAGGGTGGAGGATATGATAAGGCTTCACTTGTTGAACCGGCGTTACCCTCGTTGTGCATTTCGTGTGTTGTGGTGTTCGAGGTGACCAGACCAGAATGTTGCATGCATGCATGTAGTCTCTGAATATCGGCTGAGCAGTGTAAGGAAATATAGACTTCTTTGTTGAGGGTCACGTGACAATCGAAATTAGTAGTTGTAGACTTTTTGGGATGTAGGTGAGTTTCGGTGGTGCAGTTGTATTCAAACATTATAATCACCGTAGTTATCATACCTCCTTATTGTTTCTAAGCTACTTCCTACTCTTGTGACTGTTCTCTTCGTTTCTTCATTATCTTTAATCTTAGTGCATTCTCACTTGATGTGCGGAGATGATGTGTAACACCTTGGTTGGTTGTTCAGTAATGTCAGTTCCTACATTGTTTCTCTGTACAACTATACATATGTGTGTTAAAACAAACCATTTTTTCCTTATATAAGTTGTTTTTTTATGTAAGATAGTGTATATTTGCATGACTGCATTTGAGGTCTTAGACTGTATGGAATCCAGAAAGTGTGAATTTGTTTAGCTGTGTTGACGTCTTTAGTGGTCGTTCGGTTTTATGCTGTTTATTGGATGGTAACATTATTGTATTGCATTAATTTCTACCTACTTGCATTATTTTTTCTTGAATTTCATTTGTTTATTTAGCTATTAAAACAATTTGAAAATCGGAAAGCATTTGAAGGTTTTCATGAACCTGTGATCAACTTTGCACCGACCTACAAATTTGATATGAATTCCAATATATACGATTCGAGGTATGATTTTTCGCGGATCTAAATAAACATATGTGTCACTTAGTAAAACAGATTTATTCACTAGGATAACATTTCAAATGCATTTTAAGATCCTCAGTCACATCACTTAACTGCACATCCTAAAAGGTGTACTCTTTGTTGCATAACTAGTACAGTATTACAGTTATCAGGTACAAGTGTCAAGTCGTTTGCTTTTGCGTACACCTTTACTGGAACTTAGGACAATGAATTGTGTCATATTGAAGCATTCGACTTTTTAACAGTATTCTAAATTCTGTAATGCAGGTACAAAGCTGCTAAGTAACACCCTCCCTGCCAGTTAGTTTTTTTTCGTAATGTATCTCTACTCAGTGAAGTTATCATATTTAGGGAACGGAACACCGAGGTTTGCGCGAATCGGTCATTGGATGGTAACTGATGTAGCTATCAATTCTTTATTCTTCAACAGTGATCGCGATATGTGGATTACGCTTGTAGATTTGCAACTTGGCTAATTTATGTAGTACTTCAGTGCCCTGCATTTTCTAGTCAAATAATATTATTAAGTCGGGGGGTAGGTAGATTTTATCAGTCATTACCAATGCATATCTACAATCCTAACGAAACTGGTATTGCCCCACAAATTTTAATCAGTCACTTAGTGCTTAAGTCAGACTTCATTACTTATTCACGTCACGAGTGACCCCGTATAGCGACCACAATCTAAACTTAATCGGTAGAGTTCAGTCAATGCTCATCACTGTAGACTTTATAGTCATATCGGTTTGCCATTCAGTGACCAGTTCCTGTGTATATTTCAGTTCCATAAAAGACAATTCACTACCTAAATGGCCTAGCAGTTAATTTACTATGGTCTTTAGTAGGTGACAGGTTTGAGTTCTTACCGGAGCGCATTCTTTCTCACGCCATACTGATAATTCTGGTTGTATTTATGTTTTCTGAGCTGGGTTGTTTAGTAGTGGAGCTTTCATCGTCTTGCTAGACGATGAAAGCTGAGAGAAAATAATGCAACCAAGACCATACACCTGAGCTACAAATATTCTCCATCATACTAATAATTTCCAAAAATGATGAAACCTAGGTAATGACACATGACAAGATAATTTGCGTTTGTTTAATATTCAAATATTTTTTATAAAGTTCATCAGAAATAAACAAAATTAGACGTATCGAGACATATACACACCCAAAATGTGAAAAGAATCATTTCAGATTCACTGAATACCCATGAAAGTAATCCATTTTGTAACCTATTACCAACTTTCGGAAAAAGATGCATAACAATACGTACATTTAGTAGTAGGTGGTTTGCTATAGAAAACTGCATCATTCAGTTATGCATATGGCAGTAGTAGCATCCTATTTTACAGGGTAGGAAAATCTACCCTACTTATAAGATTAATAGGCAGATAACCTATTCATTATGCACCTAGAACAACAATCATGAGGAAAGCAAGTTATCGATTGAATGACAATGGTCCTACAAATCTCAAAGCCTCCATTCAGATGCAATAGTTTTTTTGAAATTCTTTAAAGCGTACAATCGGTGGCAAGTGTTTTTGCTACGAAAACTAGTCAACAGCGCATACATTGGAAAATTGGCAACAGCTGATCAGCCACACTTTTTGACTTCAGTGCGAAAGTGACATCTATTTTACAAGTACTCATCATAGTTCAGGAAAGTTAATATGGAATGCCCATTGAAATTAGCTTAACTCAACGTGCGTTTCGAAGTTCGAGGAGAACAGTTGGATGAACATTACTGTTTGTAGATATCTACAGGGAATCCAAACCGAATGCATGAAGTCTGTTGTGTTTTCGCTTCATAAAACAGTAGGATCTTTGTAAATTCAAGTGTAATGTTCGTAAATATCCATTTATCGCATCCATAATGCAGTTTTTAAAGTATCAATTTCGTCTTGTTAGAGCTGTGAAGCAACTTTCGTAATAAATCTGAAAAAGAGAGTATATTTAAGAAGTTCAAGGGCATCACAATAACCTGTGTTATTGCATTTTATTTCAACACAGCTATGGAGTATTTCTTTGATACTTTTAGTGGATAGTTCAAAAATGTTCACAATACGAATTTTCTCTACGGGACTGATCTGCGTTGGCTGCATGTTTAATAGTAGTGGGTGAAGTGGTTAGACGCGTTGATTACTTCTTTTATCTAGGAAGTTGGATCAGCCCTGACGGATCGGTGATCGACAAAATATCTACAGGGATAAAAATGCTCGATTGGCTTTTCTCAACTTCTCCATTTATATTTGAATGCCACTTAGGAGCTGAGCGTACTCTATGACTCTGTAGTTGGTTCTGTTATACTGTGTGGCCGTGGAGCATGACTAATTAACGGTGGGGAACAGGGGGCAACCTCAGATATTCGACCACCCTTACCTTCTTATCGTAGGTCGTATGCCGTAATTTCATTACGAAGTCATGCTAGGACACTCATTGAATCATGAGAAAGAACTTGTTCAACTAATAATTACATTCGATTTCGGTATGTTTAAACTGTCTGAAAAAATAACAGTTTCCACGATGAAAGTCATGATCGGGAATCTATTTCATCAGGATGTTGAAAAATTCATCAGATTAATAAACACGAAGTCTTCATTTCAGATGCCATTAGTAAAGGTGATGCAAAAATTCACCATAATATTTAAAACGTTCTAACTTTCCGACTGAAGTATGATTTTCGTTTCTTGCACGCCGAGTGACCGCCTACCTTGACGTGCGATGCTAGGGGAAGTTGGGTTAAGTTGGAAGAGGGTTGACAGTGGTCAGAACAAGACTTGACAACATGAACTCCCTTACTCTGTTGGTCTTGAGCCATGCGGGGAGATGCAGACTACCTAACTGGGATCCCCTAGGCAGTAGGAATTAATAGTTTCGGATTCTTAGTGTGGCGCAGATGTATTCACTCTTCTACGTCTAAAGCTTGAATATTCGCAATAACCTTCATTTTCATAATGTTTTATTCTCTCTCTCAACTTTGTCTACTTTGTTATCACTCTTTATCTACTCACGGGTTCTGTGTGTACTACTATTAAGTGTGACCACTTGAGCCGATGCACCTGTGTGCGAGGTTCTACGTTGATTTTGTCAGCCAGTTTATCATACTGATTCAAAATTGAGCAGGTTATACAAGGAGAAAATAATAAAATCCCATCACTTTCGCATGAAAGGTAAAAAATGATGAAGGGATAAGATAAAGTCCATCTCTTTAATGGTCCGCACGTCAACCCACTACTGAAAAAAAGATGAAGGCCGGTTAAGATAGTATAAGATGAGAAGGAAACAATTGTCGAGAAAAGTGAACAAGTAAAAACCTGTTCATCTTGCTAATATACTCACTATACGCCTGCTGGTGGAAGTGTCTACTGAATGAGATCAGTCGTCTCATAATAAAAGCACAAACACTCACTGTTGTTGTCATTTTGGTTTATTTTCACGCATTACCTGGAAAACGTTGAAAGTAAATTGCCTCGTGTTGCAGATGACATTTTTATCTTCGTCATCAGACCTACTCGTCTATGAATTTGATGATGTTAGATGGTTCTCTGTGTTAAGTAACCTCCATCTCAGTAGCAGTTTTTATATTTATTTGCAAACAATCATGTTAACGCTACTCTTTTTAAGTTCCATAGGCCGTGCCTGTGCCTAATTGGTATCACAATCTTAATACATCGCTCTTACTGACTTGAACACTTTTACACTGCTCTTAGAAACGAAATAACTATGGAATTCATTTGCTTAGCTCATTATCAGATGTCACTCAGATTCTTTGCTAGTTCTAATAGATCTGTATTTTGCTTTTATCTGTGCTTTTGAAAAGTAATGCAAAAGCAATGGAACATTTTAGAATGGATCTAATGTGGTTGCTTTTCTTAACTAATCATTCTGTTTTCACTCACTCACTCACTCACTCACTCACTCACTCACTCACTCACTCACTCACTCACTCACTCACTCACTCACTCACTCACTCACTCACTCACTCACTCACTCACTCACTCACTCACTCACTCACTCACTCACTTTACTTACTTACTTACTTACTTGCTTGCTTACTTACTTACTTACTTACTTACTTACTTACTTACTTACTTACTTACTTACTTACTTACTTACTTACTTACTTACTTACTTACTTACTTACTTACTTACTTACTTACTTACTTACTTACTTACTTACTTACTTACTTACTTACTTACTTACTTACTTACTTACTTACTTACTTACTTACTTACTTACTTACTTACTTACTTACTTACTTACTTACTTACTTACTTACTTACTTACTTACTTACTTACTTACTTACTTACTTACTTACTTACTTACTTACTTACTTACTTACTTACTTACTTACTTACTTACTTACTTACTTACTTACTTACTTACTTACTTACTTACTTACTTACTTACTTACTTACTTACTTACTTACTTACTTACTTACTTACTTACTTACTTACTTACTTACTTACTTACTTACTTACTTACTTACTTACTTACTTACTTACTTACTTACTTACTTACTTACTTACTTACTTACTTACTTACTTACTTACTTACTTACTTACTTACTTACTTACTTACTTACTTACTTACTTACTTACTTACTTACTTACTTACTTACTTACTTACTTACTTACTTACTTACTTACTTACTTACTTACTTACTTACTTACTTACTTACTTACTTACTTACTTACTTACTTACTTACTTACTTACTTACTTACTTACTTACTTACTTACTTACTTACTTACTTACTTACTTACTTACTTACTTACTTACTTACTTACTTACTTACTTACTTACTTACTTACTTACTTACTTACTTACTTACTTACTTACTTACTTACTTACTTACTTACTTACTTACTTACTTACTTACTTACTTACTTACTTACTTACTTACTTACTTACTTACTTACTTACTTACTTACTTACTTACTTACTTACTTACTTACTTACTTACTTACTTACTTACTTACTTACTTACTTACTTACTTACTTACTTACTTACTTACTTACTTACTTACTTACTTACTTACTTACTTACTTACTTACTTACTTACTTACTTACTTACTTACTTACTTACTTACTTACTTACTTACTTACTTACTTACTTACTTACTTACTTACTTACTTACTTACTTACTTACTTACTTACTTACTTACTTACTTACTTACTTACTTACTTACTTACTTACTTACTTACTTACTTACTTACTTACTTACTTACTTACTTACTTACTTACTTACTTACTTACTTACTTACTTACTTACTTACTTACTTACTTACTTACTTACTTACTTACTTACTTACTTACTTACTTACTTAGTGTATAATATTTAATTAATCGGTACCGGAACTAAAAGTAATGCACTTTGATAAAATGCATCAAATTTAGGATATTTGTATAGAATCATATGCTTTTTATAGTTTATATAATATAAATCTTCATTCACGTTGCGTTTTCAATAGTGCTATTTGTTTGTCTATCGTTCCAAATTATTTTATTTTCTATTCATTTTTATTTGAAAATGTTTAGGATGCATTTCTCTCCTTATTCAAATGCAAATTTAGTTGCTCTTCATCAGTGTCTCGTATAACAATAGGGAATGAGGCGGTTGAGCTCGTTGATGACGTACGTCACTTGTGGAGGTGGATTCGCCCTAGTTGCTCAATGACCGACGATATCATGGCACAGATAGAAATGCTTCACTTTAGTCTTTGGTAGTTTTCTCGATTTATGTTGGCGTGATAATTGAATGCCGCTTGAATGTTTAGTGTAATGTGATGCTGTGGTTGGACCTGTTGTAGTATATGTTTGTGAAACATGTCTATTTGAGGTAGGCAATATGATAAAGCTTCAGGTGTTGAACCAACGTTGTCTTCGTGGCATAGGTAGTCTATCGTGGTTTCATCGCATCAGTAACGTAAAAGTCAGGTGTAGAGTTTTAAGATGAAAAAGATGAGGTTGTGCGCCTTCACCAATGCGAATGATTGGGACATGTGTTACGCTTGCCTAGTCCCCTATCTGCCTCAGCACATAGTGTTGTCTGAGGTAAGTTCATGTTGGAAAAAAGTTAGAGGTGACCAGATCGCAACGTGCTGTTTGTGCCTGTAGTCTCTGAATGTCGGTTGAGGGGTGTAAAGAGATATAGACTTCCCTCTTGGGGTGCGCGTGATAATCGAAATTAGTGGTTGTAGACTTTGTGGGATATAGGTGACAATCGGTGGTGCAGTTGTATTCAAACATTATAATCATCGTAATTGTCATGCAGAATCTCGTTTTTGTTTCATGCCTCCTTGTTGTCTTTTAACGACTTCCTACACTTGTAACTATTCTCTTTTTTCCTTCATTATCTTTTATCTCAGTGCGTTCTAACTTGGTATTCGGAAATGATGTGTGACAGCTTGGTTGATTGTCACATCGTTTATGAATGTAATCTGTATGGCTATTATTAAATTGTTATTTTGTGAATATGTAACTATTTTCCCTCTGCTTTCTGTTTATTTATTTAACTAGTGATAAGAATCGTGTTCCATCATATTGTGATCGTATCTTATGGTCTGGTCAAGGCTGTGAACCAATTGCATATCGTTCACATCCAGCATTTGTTTGCAGCGATCATAAACCAGTCTCAGGTTATTTCTCAGTCAGTGTGAGTGAACTGTATAAGTATCTTTTTCATTGCTCATATTCATTTGCTTAGTAACAATTGCAACACTTTTTCTTTTGTTCGAGTATTACATGTAATTAGTTGTGTCTTCGCGGCTACACTTTTTCACGTCTACAGGTTTATGTTGGTATTGTATTGTTATGCATAGTGTGTAGAAGATAATCTGCTTATCAGTTGATTTAACGAATCTTTTAACAAATGTGAAATTGACCTTATTATTCATCTTGGTGACTAGCAGAGAAATCCAGGACGTGCATTTCGTCCTGTCTGAAACTCATCAGCCGGATATACCTGTACGCCAATGAGTGATGTTTCCGCTGGGACTCGAACCTAATATCCATTGCTTTAGACGCAAAGCATTATCCACTCACCACTGACCTGTTATCACTTTTACTCGGAACTGTTGACTCTTGATACTTAAATAGTTTTTATTGTTGTCCTGTTGATGAATCTAATACTGTTTAAGTATATTCAAGGTATATTTTGAATTACTTTTCCTGAAATACATGATGGAGGATATAAAAATATGTATATAATGTTCCGGTTGTTAACATACACTTAGACATTGATAGTGAGGATCACAGCGCTTATGTCCCGTGCTTGAGTTTTGTTTTGTCTCACATCTACTCACAGAAAACCGATTCATGAAATTATTTATGTATCCGGACTCAAATCTGACTTACTACTATCCATACAGTTACACAGTATACAAACCCTTATGAATCGAGTGTAGCTAAACAGCCAGCCATAGTGCATATACATTTGTATGGGGTTGTCAAGTTACATTAACACGTGAGAAGTTAATTTTTTACTTAGGATTATCGTGATTTCATGCAGGTTGAACACTCTATTTCATTTACTCCACTATCATATGTAAGAAATTGAATCATTTTCTTTATTTGACTATAGCTACAGATATGAGTTTGATATTCATCAGATGAGTCATCACTATAGAGTATCGTAGATCCATCACATCAAGTGTATTGGCTTTAGAAGCTGAAAATTATCATGAACTAATAAAATTATGAAATATGAACCATTAGATTCCTACCCAGCGGATCATAGTAACATGATGACCGTGGAACTTGAAGGTCATGGGTTCGATCCCTATCGGTATTCATGATCGCACACTGTTAAACAGTCCTATACTAGGATGAAATCAATGTCCCATTCTCCTAGGTTTCTTATGATTCTCCAACTGATGGCAATCCATGATGAATAGTGACGTGAAATAATTTTTTTCCTCCGAATAAATTATCAACCTGTGTATGTGTTTGTGGTTTTTGAAAGAATTAGTTTATAGCTTGGAGTATGCGAATTCTTAGGATGGTATGCGTTTATTGTTCGAACAGCAGGTCATAAATATTAAGTGAATAGTTCTGTCAGTACAAACGCTCATTGAAAGCAGTCGAATGTCAAGTGCTAATGCCTTTATAATTTTGTCAGAATATCAAACAACTAAGCCAATAATAAAGCTGTGCAACTCACATACGGTTTACAATTTTAGGTACTAGATTTATGAATCATGCTTAATAACCAACAGGCTATGATGATATCCAATCCAAAGGGGATATTATACTGTAATTCAGCTCTCTGCAGAGAAGTTACGAGTTATGGTGAAATGGATACTGATTGTTTCCCATTTTTTGTCATTTATTCGTGAAAGTCATCATTATTGATAAAGAAAATATCTGAATAGTTTACTTACTTACCTGTCCCTTGGGTTCCTAATGAAACATAGGGATTCAGTAGCATGTCTCCACTACACTCTCTTCTCTGCTGTCTTTCCAACCTCGTCCCACAACACCCCAGAAGCTTTCATTTCTTCTTCACTCGATCGCCTCCATATCACCCTCACATCCCACGCCCAAATCGTCATTTCCCCTTCAAATTCCACTCGAGGACATAGCCTCGCGCATGATGTCCTCCAATGGTCTTCTCAGTTCATGCCCAACCCATCTCCACTTCCTGTTTCTGCATATTTGCTGGGTGATAGGTCCTTGATTGGCTGGTTACCCACCAGAGTTCCTTGTTGCTTATTCTTCTCATTCTGACCATCTGATCTTCAGTATCGAATGAGTGTAGGTGACAGCTGTTGATGAATGTCTGTAGTTTGTTGGAAATGCTATTCGTGACACGCCAAGTTTCTGAACCACATAACAGCACTGACTTCACGTTGGTGATGGAAATTCGGATCTTGTTCCACATGTTGAGTGCAGTAGATCTCCACACTGGTTTCAGGTTGATGAACGTCAGTCTTGCTTCTCCAATCCTGGCTTTAACGTCCTTGTCTGTGCCGCCGCCTGTAATTGAAACGATGCTGCCTAGGTAGATAGGTGAAAGAGACTATTTTCTTTAGGTTTCTCCCGTTGATGGTGATTGGAGCTTGTTGTTGTTGGTGGTGGTGTTGGTTGGGTATATTCATCACCTCCATCTCTATCTTCTCTACGTTCACCTCAATTAAGTCCCATCTTCGCTGCCTTGCCTCTTCTGTCAACTTGTTAGTTTTCGCCTGTTGATCTTCGAGTTTGTGTGACATTAGACACAAGTCATCGACAAAATCCAAATCTTTTCCCTGGTCCAACGTATGCCCCACTTCTCGCTCTTCACTGATTGCTGCATGATCCAGTCGACCACAATCAGGAATATCATGGGTGATAGTAGACAGCCTTGTTCCACTCCTGTCTTCACTTCGAAGGCATCACTGAGCTGAGCTTCCCATTGTGAATTACTTGGCATGTGGAGCCTTCATATAGCTGCTGTTGAATGAGGTTGATAAAGGTTTAAGGTATTCCGTGGTGTTGAAGCAACTGTCAAATTACCTCTCAATCGACGATGTCAGAGGCCTTTTTAAAATCGATGAAGCTGATGTAGAGGGTTGACTGCCATTCTATACTCTGTTCTATGATGATGCGCAGTGTCTCGTTGCAATTTGATCCACACATGATTTGTACTTCCTGAATCCAGCCAGCCTGTTCCAGTCGTAGTTTTGAATCCATCTGAATAGGTTAACTATCTACGAATCTCCTGACAAACTTAAATTTATAACTTCACTTTGCGTATCTCATTTTTTTTAAGTATATTTTCATTATAAAATAAATTTTATTGATTTCTATTCTTTTATTTTTCTTTAATAATTAAATTCTTTCGCATAGTTACGTCGTATTAAACGTGCAGCATTTCAACGTACCTATGAATCTGTACTACTAAGTATAGATTTAACAACTAATTTATCATTACCTCAAGCTGAATTGGATAGGCAAGAATTGAATTTTGATTTTGTTCACTTTCATGAATTATGCAGTCAAACATTGACATTAACAAATATTGGATTAAATGATTTTCAGTTTAAATTTTTACGTGAAGGTGTTGGTGCATTTCCATCATGGCTTACTGTTAGTCCATCGTGTGATTGGGTTAAACAAGGTGAGTTTAAGATAGTATTAATTCTGTAAACTAACTGTAATTATTATCTAGTAGTAATTAAAGTTCAAATAAAAACCGATATTATGACATCCTTCCAGCTGATAACCTGTTCTTGTCAATGTACCAATTGTATTATCATGTCATACTTTTCGATAGACTCTTTTTGTCTCATTAACTAACTGAGAGTATTCATTCTGCGTATCTATAGCGCTTTGTTCGTGTATAATAACACCATAGTTGACATATATATGTAAAAATCTTCTCTCTCACCTTATAATCACATTAATTTTATATAGTGTAATGCGAAGATAAAATTTCTTGATGACTCAGGAGATAGCCTAGTTAAATGCTTTTTTATCAAGTGAGTTTTGATGAAGGTGAATATATCATCAAGTTTTATGGAGATGACAGTTGACTTGATACTGATCTCTGTACTGTCTTTCTAATTGGAATCAAAGTATTACGCCGTTAGATACCCAATCAACAACAAGCTCCAGTCACCATCAACGGGAGAAACCTAAAGAAAATAGTCTCTTTCACCTATCTACCTAGGCAGCATCGTTTCAATTACAGGCGGCGGCACAGACAAGGACGTTAAAGCCAGGATTGGAGAAGCAAGACTGACGTTCATCAACCTGAAACCAGTGTGGAGATCTACTGCACTCAACATGTGGAACAAGATCCGAATTTCCATCACCAACGTGAAGTCAGTGCTGTTATGTGGTTCAGAAACTTGGCGTGTCACGAATAGCATTTCCAACAAACTACAGACATTCATCAACAGCTGTCACCTACACTCATTCGATACTGAAGATCAGATGGTCAGAATGAGAAGAATAAGCAACAAGGAACTCTGGTGGGTAACCAGCCAATCAAGGACCTATCACCCAGCAAATATGCAGAAACAGGAAGTGGAGATGGGTTGGGCATGAACTGAGAAGACCATTGGAGGACATCATGCGCGAGGCTATGTCCTCGAGTGGAATTTGAAGGGGAAATGACGATTTGGGCGTGGGATGTGAGGGTGATATGGAGGCGATCGAGTGAAGAAGAAATGAAAGCTTCTGGGGTGTTGTGGGACGAGGTTGGAAAGACAGCAGAGAAGAGAGTGTAGTGGAGACATGCTACTGAATCCCTATGTTTCATTAGGAACGCAAGGGACAAATAAATATAATAAATAAATAAATTACACTTTCGGTGCAATGGATTGCAAACAAACATTCTATTCTTTCATTTGCAGAGCCTAAGGGTATAAATCATGTTGCATAAACTGGTAACTGTGTGGTAATCTGTGTAGTTGTCAAATTCTAAAGGCTGATCAAAGCTTGTTTATGAAGTCTACACTGTTGCTTGTAAGCTAAGTGGCACAATATTGCAATGTATTTGATTCTACATTTTACAAACTTATTGACTAAAAAACCCATACTTAGGTTTCGCACTTGTTGACAGTAGTTAGCGTGGCATATTTTCAACACTTACCATCTGGCAACAGATTCATATACCTAATTTAGTCATACATAGTGTTATTCATGCGAAGTTTTGACTTCAGCATTAGGTAACTGTGGTTAACCTGATTATCCTTTGAATCATAAAAGAATAAAGACTTCACTGAAACTAATTCATTTTCGATGAATTCTTCGTCTACAGTTGTTCAATGGCACTGAAATATGGTTACTGTACATAAAAATGCCAATATTTCAATCAGTAATTGTTAGTAGTTTGTAACGATAAAAATAATATAGGGATGAAAATTACGTAACAAATATGAATTGGGATGCTTAGCAATCAAGAAACTGAATAAGAAAAAGGAATGGTAAAGTCCGTTCTGCATACACAGTTCCGGTTTCGTTTGTTGTATTACCAACACTTCAGCAATGCAGAATAAACTTTTTCGCACACCCTTCGGAGGATTACGTTGCACTTTACAGACTAGTGCGAAAAAAAATCTTCCTGAACTGTCGACTGTCAACAAAATGTCGTAATATGCAGTTATTAATTGATCCGCATTGACCTTTACGGAAATATCCTGGAAGGTGTTTGCGTCGACGTTGGACAGTCTTCATCTCCGTACTGTATATGTACTTAAGTCTACAGGAACAGGTGGATTGGTATACGCACATTGAAGTGGCTAACAGTAACCGTTGGCTATTCGCACATGTGTTCACCGTCGGGCTCCAGGACTGGTCTTTAGCGGTACTGCGGTTAACAATAGGGAGTGAAGTGGTTGAGTGTGTTGACCACTTCACTTACCTGGGAAGTAGGATCAACCCTGGTGGGTTAGTTGCCGATGAGATTTCTGCACGGATACAAAAGGCTCGATTGGCTTTTGCCAATTTGCGCCACCTATGGCGCCGCCGTGATATTCGTTTGTCTATTAAGGGTCGCGTGTACTGCACAGCAGTCCGCTCTGTTCTACTGTATGGCTGTGAAACATGGCCATTGAAGGTGGAAGACGTGAGAAGGCTTCAGGTGTTTGACCACCGTTGCCTTTGTAGTATAGGACATATTCCGTGGTGTCACCATGTGAGTAATGCAGAAGTTAGGTGTAGAGTTTTGGGGAGAAGAGGTAAGTCAGTTGACGAGGTTGTGAACCTTCATCGACTGAGATGGTTGGGAGATGTGTTACGTATGCCTAGTCACCGATTGCCTCGTCACACAATGTTGGCTGAGGTGGGTCCAGGCTGGAAAAAGGCCCGAGGTGGCCAGACCAAAACATGGCATCAATGTATGAAGTCTCTGACTGTTGGTTTAAGCCATGTAGGACGATGCAGGCTACTAGGTGGTTGGGGTTGGCGGGACAAGAAGAACCAGTGGTTGGAGACCCTAGGTGATATGGCTCAGAACCGATGTCAGTGGCGCAGATGTATACACACATTATCCTCATCTTAACAACGCTATACCGAATCTCACCATTTTGTCACTCCTCTTTCCTTTCTTTTCGTACTTTATATTTCTTTTTACTGCATTCACTTATCTTCATCCTTCGCCTCACTACCTTTTACTTGATGTGCTGATATGAGGTGTGGCAACTCAGACCGTTACGCAGTAATGCCTGGTCCTATGTTGATTTTGATAATGATGATGATCACCGTCGGGCGACCACTATAGGAAATTTGCAGAGTGGCTGCATAGAATGTTATTTTTACAACCTTCATCGGTCTATGTGTTAGTAGCTCATATTCATTGAACTCTAAGCTCAGAGATAAGCTTTTTCTTCTCCATAATGATAGGAGGCTAATGGGTAACATTCTGATGTAGTTTTTTTTATTTCTGAATCTCTCTGGGTATCCATTTGTGATGAATTTCTACCTTAAAAGTTGAATTTCGTCTTCTAAAGTGTCAAGAGTGCAAGTCTTTTGAATTCGAAAGGGGGAAGGGAATGGATTAGATGATGAAGTCACTAAAGTCTGTACTCTTTTACGACTCAATAAGAATATATAAAGATTATTCTTTGCGTTGTTGTCGAGAGCTTTACCATGCAGAAAGCGTGCATTTAAGCTTTCGTTTCATTCTTCTATGCTTTGCTGACACCGAATGTAATATGAACTTTAGTCATCACTATCAACCTTATTCAGTACCAATGGCGGTTACTCAAGGTACTTTCTATTATTATTACTCCTTTGGGTTCCTGGTGGAACATAGGGAATCAGCAGCACGTCTCCATTTCATCCTGTTCTCTACAGTCTTTTGAACCTGGCTGGCTCCATAGCTACCCAGAAGCTTTCATTTCTTCCTCACACCATCTCCTCCATATCACCCTCACCTCGGACGCACAATTCGTCGTTTTCTCTTCGGGTTCCATTCGAGGACCTGGCCTTGCGCGTGTTATCCTCAAACTGTCTTCTCAGTGTATGTCCAATCCATCTCCACTTCCTGCTTCTGCATATTTGTTAAGTGATAGGTCTTTGGTTGGCTGGTTGCCCGCCAGAGTTTCTTGTTGATTATTATTCTTATTCTGGCCATCTGATGACCATCCTCAGTATCGAGTGAGCGTAGGTGGCAGTTGTTGATGTATGCCTGCAGTTTGTTGGAAGTGCTTTTTGTAAAGGACCAAGTCTCTGAATCATTTTCTATTACTCGAGGTGAAATCAACCTATAGCAAAGGTAAAAATAAAATAGTAAGACTGATATATATATATATATATATATATATATATATATATATATATATATATATTATATTACGATTATTACTACTGTTAGTATTATTTTATGGTTGTGACTTCATTAACAGTGTGTTACATCATCGCACTGGGAATATCTGTATGCATGTATATTCCAAAGATTCTTTCTAATGGATTGCATGAAACATTGCTGTTACTTGTTTTGTGGTAAATAATAATAAGACCTGGTGACTAGATATGTTAGAACATTGACGTATATTTATTATTGTATCAGATGATACGCATTCTGCTAACTTTAACAATCTATTCTCTACTTACTCATTATGCACTATGAAATGTCTGGCAGAATGTAATAGATTAGCTCAACATTTTCTCATTTCTGTATCGTATGATTACATTCCAGTGAGTATACATTTTATGCAAATATGTTTATTGGCTATATTTTTATACACTGGAACACATAGTACTAACCATTTTGAAAAGATGATAAAATTAGTTCCAGTTACTTACTAATTAATCATGATTATGTTGTATTGTTGGCATCATTTAACCTAAGAAAGATTCCTTTCATGTTTGTTAGTGAAGAAACCTGTCTGAATATATATATTAACGTATGCTTAGCCATTTGCGTGACATTCTTCTTAGTTGAGTTAGATACAAGACTGCTGGTGTTCTATGACTTTGGTTCAAAAGCCAATACACCTTTCATGCCGATACAACTATATCTACTAGGCTACCGACCAACCTCATAACGCCAACCAGTGCTCTCGTCAGAGATGATTGGAAAGTAATTTAGACTCTGAATCTATTACTTGAGCCAAATCTCCACAAGTGTGTTGGTAGAACAGTCTGTGGTTACACATATTCACAATAACTTCCTGGGTGACGGTCAGCGCAGCTTGATTTCCAATCAAATTTCCACACGAATGGAATTGAAATGTTCTCAGCAGCTTTTTGCACTTGCATGAACCGGATGATAAGCCACACCTGTTGTGTAAGGGCTTTCCAAACCTCCTTAGATGAAGTGGTGTTCGAACTTGTGACCCACTGGTTGAAAGTAATCTCCCTAAGCTAATGAACCACAGCTCCATAATTTTCTTCAAAACCATAACAACATATAGGCTGGCTAATATTGTCATCATTGAACCTGGTATCGTATGGCGGTCTAGTTTGTGACACTTAAGACTAAAATGTGAAGAAATAAGATAAAAAGAGGTAGGGTAAAGAAAGTAGCATGAAGACTGGCGGCACCTTCCTATTTAACCATCCTTAAGCCTTTTTCGCTTATCCTACATCAGCTAACATTCTGCATTGTGGATAAACGATGACTGGGCATCCTCAGTAATATACGCTGAACCCATCTCATTTTGTGAAGGCTTACAACTACATCGAATAAATCGCCTATTCCACTTAGACCCCTACTTTTGTAACGGTTATAATTTGATCGATAAAAATTATCTTGGGATCTAGTGTTGTGTTTACTATACTGTACAAATCAGTGAAAAATGTTTTCTAGTGTGAAATGTTGAACTTTTCTGAAACTTCATTATCAAAAAAAGTATTTCAAATAGGAGATGAATTCTAATCACTGCTGAACTTTTCATTTAAAATGAAACGTTTACAGTGTAGGTGACAGTAGAAGTAAAATACTCTTTCACATTCACTGTTACATGTCCCACAACTTCCATTTTCAGTATTCAACAACAGTCGTCTCTCCTGTTATTTTCTTGCTTAAAAGCAAGTGTGAAATCCGTTCTAAGAGTAAATTTCATACCTTACTTCATAATATCTAGACCGTGTGCTTGAATTACCGTCAGAAATAATAGTTATACAGCGTAGATTAACATAGCTATCTTTCACAGTATCCTTCTACAAAGAAGCTGTCATCTTGAATAACCCTTTTAAATCATAGAAGTATTACTAACTACGAATATAGGATACTGCAACTGTTAGTGAAAATAGACGAAATGGCTTGTTGGCTTGGGATCCAATTTATGGATCATGGATGCCTACCTCCAGTCGCACCGCCTACTTTGGCCTCAGCAATCCGATAGTATTGTAAGTTCTCGCACAAAAAGCATGTCCCATAGCCAGGTAAATAACCATTTTGTTGGACAATTGGAGGCTTTTGGCAAGAGCCTATGGACCTCGTTCACCTCCTTTTGTTAAAATTTCAAATACATTTCACCTAACAGTACAGCCATATGCAACTTCTGAGATATGGTCAACTTTCTATAAGACTAAATTAAATGTATGAATAAGTCACTGGTGTTTAACCGTTGTCTTTTTATGCAGTCGTTTGTGGTGATGGAATTTTCTTGCATTGTAAGAATCGATTTGTGGAACTGTGGTATATCCGCCTATACAACTAACCTTCAACCAGAGTCAAGCTTTTGAAACCCACATAGTATTGTCAGCACCTTACACAATAGATGTGTGGCTCATTGCCTAGTATTTGAATATGTATGTAGGCACTGATAGGTCTCAGTTTTTTTTGTTTGTTTGAAACCATGACGTGTATATGAAATTTATCAATAATAAGTTTTATAATGAAACAGTTACAGAGTCGCCATCATTGATCCATTAGTTTACAACCGTTGAATTACACCCGAAATTATTGTGAATACATACTTGTGTCTCACGTTACCATATGTCACACTTATCCTACATGACTTTATTACTTCAAGTATTAGTGTTGAACAGATTCCCTCTTTTCCTTCATGTTTCATATTACTGATATCACTAGTAGTAGTAGTCATGCCAATGAAATGTTTCACACGACATAAGTATTGTATACAATTAATCAACTCGTTCATTTTTCGTTAAGTCACTGTGATTTTGCGATAGGATACATAATCTCATTACTCACTTTAGATATATAAAGAAGTTATTATTGTGTATGATATTTTTGGACGAATGAATAGCAAATTATATTTATAATTAATCGTTTATTCGTTGTAAGGTATAATAAAGGTGTAATTACGTCACCGTATTTATAGCCTTCGTATTCGAACCACTATGGGCGTTTTAAAATCTACGTTCGGCTGTCAATGGGTCGCTTATATCGAATGGTGTCCACTATCTCCATTCTTATTTAGTTATGTCATAGATGTGCTTATGCAGGTCTCCCTGTCCTAATTTCATTGTACAAGTGTTGACCGTGTCGCCACCGACAACTCAGTAACCGTAGAGACTACGTGTATGACATAGTGGTGTTAGGTGGATGCAGTGACAAGATGGAGAGTCTTTTGAAAACTGTGAGTGATAATTTGAGAATGTTTGGAATATATTTGTCTGTGTACACAACTGTAAATTGTCGTCTCAGAATTGGTGTTCATTGGTGGGTTATTCAACAATAGAAGTTGATACAGTTGGGCATGGTAATGGGTCGATTATCGACGAAATTTCTGCATTGATAGAAAAGCCTCGCTTGTTGTTTGCCACCCTTCGCCATTTATAGTGCTGGCGTAATAACCGAATACCGTTCAAGAGTGTACTGTGACGCTGCATTTGTTTTTGTTGTAGTGTGTGGCTGTGAAAGATGGTCACTGAAGGGCAGAGGATATGGGAGTGCTTTAGGTATTGGAACACTCTTACATTCGTAGCGTAGACAGGATGTTGTGGTTCCGTTGACCGTCTCACTCACTTTTTGCCTCTTGACGTCCAAGTAGTGTCATATGCCTTCACATTACAAGTGCGGTTCATAGGCTTGGTACCCAAAAGTATGCTTAGTTGAACTTTACTATTATCACTACTAAGTAAGGTAACTTTGGTTATACAAACTGTTCACTACCTCACTGTTGAATGCCTCTATCATCGGTTTTGATAGTCAATTTACCTGAAGATTCTCTGAGTTATACTACACCAGTGTTAAGGTGGTTTACTACTCACTCACATTATAGAAATTTACTATGCGTGTAATCTAAGTCAGTTGAAGCTGTTATTCATCGGTCAGAGTAGTAAGCTTTCAACCAAGTGGATGGTGAGGTTAAGTTTCCATGTTGTCTGTTGAAGTTTGAGCTGTCGGCTGATTATAAGCAGTCCTAACATAATATATTTGTTTCTACTGAGTTATTTTGGCGAAAAGTTCTTTAAATTTTTTACATAGTAAGTTAGTTTTACTTTCTTTGTTCTGCATGATTTGTTTTTTTTTCTTACCTTAAGGCACATCCATGAACTTGGAATTTCAAATTTTTGTCAATTATAAAGAAGTTTATGCCTTAAACAGTGGATCAGCTAAATTATCTACAATTGTCGTTTTACAATTGGAAGATGGTAAAGATTATTTTATATCTATCATTGGTCAATTTATTCCAACGTGTTTTGGTCTACCGCTATTTGTACTGTTGACAATGGGATCAGATCCTGTGACGAAAATCCCAATCGCTGAATTACAAGAACAAGTTAGTTAATTCATTGAGGAATTTATTCAGTTAACTAGTTTTTTTAAAAGTTAAAATTCATAAATAGATTTTGACGGGTGTAAATCTTTTCTGTGTGTTTGTTTTTACTCTTTGTACAATTTCGGCGGTCATCTAGAACTTTGAGCTACCGAATTTTCCATGGAACATATTGCATTACATTTCTTCTTTCTATATTGTTTTAATCATTCAATTATGCCCTTTAGTTGGGTTATATGCTGTCGTGTATTTTTAAAATTATTCCAACCTAACACTATGCAAGTTGGATGAAAAATTTAAAATGGTGGATGGCAACGGGCTCTCTAGCATGTAACATGGATCCGGAAAAACTTCAGTCATTCCTGTCCACAAATAGCTATCGTCATATGGGTGTAATAATACTTCAAGAAACATGGCTTCATAATCTTTATCATGATAATTTGGTTTGGCTGAATGATTTCAGGTTATTTCGACAAAATCGATGTATTTCCACTAAGAAGTGTGGTAAGGATGTGGCAACATATTATTCCTATTATTATTGTTATATTATTTATTATTTTTCCCTTGGGTTCTTATTGGAACATAGAGCTTCAGTAGCACGTCTCCACTCCACTCTCTTTTCTGCAGTCTTTTGAACCTGGCGCCACGACTGACCACAAGCTTTCATTTCTTCCTCACACCATCTCCTCCATGTCACCCTCGTTTCGGACACCCAACTCGTCATTTCCCCTTTGGATTCCACTCGAGAACCTGGTCGCACGCGTGATGTCCCCGAATGGCCTTCTCAATGTATGTCCAACTCAATCCATCTGCACTCTCTTCCGCATATTTGTTGGGCGACAGGTTTTTGGTTGGCTGGTTGCCCGCCAGAGTTTATTGTTGCTTGTTCTTGTTATTCTGGCCATCTGATGACCGTCTTCAGTATCGAGTGAGCATAGGTGGCAGCTGTTGATGAATGTCCGTAGTTTGCTGCAAATACTTTTCGTGACACCAAGTGTCTGAACCATATAGCAGCACCGACTTGACATCAGTAGTGTTGGAAATCCGGATGTAGTTCTTTGTACTGAGAGCAGTAGATCTCCACACTGATTTCAGACTAATAAAAACCTATGTTGCTTTTCCGATCTTGGTTTTGACATCCTCGTCTGTGCCTGTGACGTCTGTAGTTGAAACGATGCTGCCTAAGTAGATAGGTGAAAGAGACTACTTCCTTTAAGTTTCTCCCGTTGATGGTGATTGCAGCTTGTTGTTGTTGGTGGTGTTGGTTGGGTATCTTCATCACCTCCATCTTCTCTACATTCACTTGAAGGCTCGTCTTCGCTGCCTTGCCTCTTCTGTCAACTTGTTAGTTTTCGCCTGTAGATCATGGAGTTTGTGCGACAAGACATTAGACATGAATCATCATAGTTGGCGAAATCCAAATCTTCTAGAGTCTTTTAATCGGTCTAGCTAGCGTATGTCCCTCTTCTCGCTCCCCACTGTTTTCTGCATGATCCAGTCGACCACAATCAGGAAGATTATGGATGATAGTAGACAGCCTTGTCTTATTCCTATCTGTGCTCATTTCAAGGGCGTCACTGAGCTTCCCATTATGAATTACTTGGCATGTGGCGTCTTCATATAGTTGCCGAATTAGATTGATAAAGATTAGTGGCACTCCGTAGTGTTGAAGTGACTGCTTACCAAATTACTTCTCAGTCGATGCTGTCGAAGGTCTTTTCCCTCATTCATCAGCTTCCACTGATGAATTCACCGAATTTGTTTATAGTCTGTACAGATTTTAATTGATGTGACTGCAGTTTCCTCTTATCATTGGCTCATGAAAATCTGATTAGCTTTCCCGCTTATCTTGACAACACACTGAGTTTAGTGTTTACAAATGACCGGCATAAATGAAACTAGTGAACGATCTCAGCTGCTAAATTCCGACCACTGTTTAGTACGTGTTTTACTCAAAATGTATGACAAGTTATATGAAAAGGCATTTGATTACCTTTCCAAAAAATTCTAGTAAAAATGCTACTCATAGGACAATATACTACTTTTGAGGAGCATGCCTAAAGAAAAGATCTGGGATCTACTTGTTGATGAAGTTTCAGGTGACATTATCACTAATATCATGAGTTATCTGTGATTCCATCTCGAAATATGTGTTACCTTGTTGAAACAAACTTTATGAGGTTTGGCAGATCTTCCTCTGTAAATCTCACGAAACCTGGGAGAAAACAGGTGTGAGGTTACCCTAGCGTTATAGGACTTATTAAGTCTGAAATACAACTGCATACGATGTACAACTAGAAACTTCTATTGTGTAAGAACTCTTCCAATATATGGAATTTTATTCAGAGTTTACTTATGAAAAACATAAAAAAGAAGCTTGTTCTGATGTCGGTGTTTTAAACCAGTCATTTATACATCGACAAGCTGATTTACTCCTTCCTAATGTCTAAAGTTAGGTGGATAGTCATTTTCTTGGTTTTGATACAAATGATATTTTCTTATTTCTCAGATCTTTGAATTCATCCTAAAGCCTAGGTCTTGATGGTTTTCCAAGTATTATATTTAGAAAATGTGCAGATATATTACAGCGATCTTTAATGCGTCATTTCCCGAGAAGAGAGATTGTATCATCTCAATCAGATGTAATGATTAGACCTACTGCTTTTACCTCTCCTTATTTGAAAACAATGAAAAATTTACTTCTACTTGTACCTGAACTTTAATTGAAGGCTTCCAGAGACATGAAGTAATTCAAATTTCACTGTCTTGCATCTGAATATTGTGTATATTTTAGACAAAGGTGATAAGTATTTTCGCTACGCTTTCTTGGGTTCCTCATCCCCCTTTAACTCTGTTCCTAGAGCACTGTTGTTCAATAAGCTTGCCACTACCGTTGCCTAATCAGTCCCAAGTTAGAAACTGGCTACATTTCAATTTCTCTGAAGAGTAACAGTATGCTGTTTATAGTGGTGGTAAGCATTCCACCGTATTGCTGGTGCAGTACTTTCTCCGTTTCCGTTGTTTTGATTTTTATGCAAATTGACTTATTCTAGCGATGATGTGACGGTCTCTGTTCCACTTGTTTGTCACTCAAATTGCTCTCGATTGAAGGCTTTTTCTTATCTGAAATTCAGCAGTAGCCTTCTTCAAATGGTCTCAGACTAAACCCTTCTAAATGTCAAACTGTTAGTTTTATCCTCAAGCATAAAGAAGATTTGTGTGAGCTGCTTCGGCTTCAGGACTAATATCTTGTGGACTTCCGAGAAAATGTTTCGTTTAGCGTATTGGATGAGGAAGCTGAGACTCTCTGATATAACCCAGTCTTTACTTTTACAATTTATTGATTCCCGTATTTTACCCATTCTTTATTGTTCCCCGTTAATATTTCATGGTCTACTAAAAATCGACTATGCTATATTGTGTAGATCTATGAAAGCCGTCAGTAGGATAAGTGCTGTGCCTCTGGCTCAACTGAAAAAACACTATAGTCGACAGACATTTAAATTCAACCAGACAACTAGCTACAGTCATTCTATCTAATACTGAGTACCCATTTTATTTACGGTTCTCTCCTTGTATCTTCTCATGGAGGACAAGACAAAATTATATAAAATTTTACACTCGTATAATTAAATGCAAGAATTCAGCTGTGGCTTACATAGCACGTATCTCATATGAGGAGCAGAACTTACTTGTCATCTTTGTGACACTTAAAGTAAGGAGTACATTTTCACCCCAAGATTAAATACGGAGAATCCTAAATTGTGTCAAAGTTGTTTAGAATAAAATGACTATTATTATTGTGTATAAATGAATATGTTTTTCTAATTTTTTTTTAAAAAATCATCAAAAATTTATTTTAAGATAAAACTGGCTCGTTCTGAAAACAATGAATATTTTAGAACTAAACTGTGTAATCTCTCAGTTCAGAAACCATTTCATGTACCAAAAGAAATATTTCGACTAGTGAATCATATCAATGAATATATAACCGAGGTAAGAAAAAAGATTTCAATAGATATTATATTGGATAGTCACTCTGATAATTGTTTGGTTATCTCATCAGCGAGTTGTTACATAGTTATGGAATAATCGTTTAACTAGCTTGAGCGTGTAATTAGGCAATAAGTTACCGGTAATTTGATGTGCTAATTGAATTGGTTGCTGTGATTACATTGACTGAAATGACTATTTATTTAGGTATAATCATTTCAGGACAGAGAACTTCGAGGCCAATCAGAATAAATGTGGTTCTTACTTAAGTTGAAGAAATCATACTATCTTACGGTCTGAAAATGAAAGACAGACAAAAATTAGAATAGAACCTTGCACGCAAGTGCAACGGTTCAAGTTGCCACACTTCAAAGTAGCATACAAAGAACATGGGCACAGCGAAACGATGATATCAAAGTAGACAAACAGTAAGGGACTTCAAGGACTGTTGGTAGGTTTTGTCCCAGCCATCCTTGAACTCTCTTCCAACCTAATCCAATTTCCACGAGCATGATTTGGCATGCGCAGTACGTGTCCAAGTCATCTCAGTCGACTAAGGTTCACAAAGACATTAATCGATTTGCTTGGCTTGTGTAGTACCCTTCGCCTGACCTTAGCATTGCTCACACGATGATTCCACCAAAGGCGAGCAGTGCTATGAAGATATCTGTAATCAAAACCTTGTAACCGCTTCATACCTTCTACTTTTAATGTTTCACAGCTGTATAACAGGACAAAACGAACTGCAGCTGCACGGTATACTCGTCTTTTGATAGATAGTCGGATATCTTGCCGGTGCCACTAAGCAAACGTCGTCGGATTTCTGCGACATCATCTGAACTAAGGGATTCAAGAAGACTGATACCAGTTGATCCCGACTACAATGAATAGCGAAACCAGTCTAAACGTAAATTGACTGAGAATCTTCACCATGACCGCGAGCAGTGGTGGGTGACGAAGACGAGAAGGACGGACAAGCCATTAGCACTAAGTAACATCTGGCAACCATTTTAGCTTATCAAGTATACCGACAAGAAGATCACCGTAAGTGAGGCCATCACCGACAAGGATGGGACCCTGTTAAACTCTCAGGACAGATGGCTAGAACGTCAGGTGGGACACTTTGAAGCTGACCAACAGTAACACTTCAGTTGCTCAGCCTCTAATCCTCACTTGAATGGGATGTATATGTTGTTCTTACATGTCTGTTTGGATTTAGGAAGGTTGTATCAAACCTGAAACATTACAAAGTAGCAGAACCTCGTGGTTTGCCACAAGGAGTTTTCAAGGATAGAGGTAGGGAATTTTAGAGTTACTATCTAGTCCGTGGGAATCTGAGGCAGCCCGGTATACTTGATTGACTATTCCAGTTTATAAGAAGAGAGGACAGTCTTCTGGTGACAACCATGTGGGGAAATCAGCTTGTCTGACATCTTGTCCAATATCCTGACACGTATCTGAGGTTCGAGAACGATAGGCAGGTTTCAGACGCGAACGAGGTTGTATCGATCAAATCTTTCTCCCCTTGAAAGCTTTTGAATTTTGGATACCTTTTGGCGATTGACGCCTAACGTATTTCTTGACTTGAAGGTGCCATTCTATTCTATTGACCATGAAGTGTTGTCGCAGTTTTTAACTGTAAAGAGAATACTGAGAAAGTTTACTGGTCTCATCGAAATTGTTTACTTGAAGTAACAATTGTTTAATGACTTACGAAGAGTTGCCATGTGAAGTGGCAACAACTAGTCGTGTCCATCAGAGATGCTTGTCTCAACCGTTCCCGTTTAACCTCATAATAGATGTACTAATAGACATACCTGTAAATATCTCTGACTTTATGCGGATTGACCTACTCTCTGAAGGGCATTTCGTGGACTCGGAGTGAGCAGATGACATTTTCTTGCTAGTCAAAAACACCGGCGAAATACAATGTTTTCTGAACGAATTGATCTGTGTATATTTGACTTCGATCCTTCACCTGAAAAAAGTTGGGTGGTCTTTCAAAATTTATCTTCAGGTACTTCAACCTTAAGGAATAAGAGTAAAGTGACATAATACATTACCCATTTCACTTACTTGGGAGATTGCATCTGAAAGTGTTGGTTGCTGACGAAATCCTAACTCTAATACACAAGGCCCATTTGGCATCAATCGTTTTGCATCATCTCTGGTACTGGTACGACATCGGATTGATTAACTAACGAAGAATGCATTGTGCTGCAGTTCAGTTTATCCAATTCCACCACTGTTAGGCATAGTCATTGAAGGTAGAAAATATGAAGGAATTGCAGTTTTTTTTCTCTCGAATTTCTTCCGTTCCCATACACTTTTGTCTACTTTCATATCGCTGTTTTTTACCCACTTGTTCTTTTCAAGCTAGTGTGATGTATGCCAACTTAAACCGATATGTTTCTGTGCTAGGTTCTACGCTGTTTCACCTCCCTCTTTCTTTCTTTCTTTCTCTCCCTCTCTGTCTCCGAGCGTTGAACAGGTTGCTTAGGTATATCGATGTGTCCATACTTTGTAGTTACTTTTCTTATCATTCTTTCTCCTTGAAGTTTTCAACTCGTAGCTTTCTTCGCTTACACAACTAAGCACACTGACTATCCGAACATTTAGAGCTATGTTTTGAAGGCTCAAGTACTTCACTTCCGACCACTGGGTGCTATATTTAATCTATTGTGGCCTTAAGAACCCTACTAAGTATCATAAGTTCTCGCACACTTCGTGTATGGTTCGTAGTTCTGGTATATAAAAATTTTATCAAGCAGCTGTTTTGCATTTGTTGATTCATTCATATTTATTTTACATTTATCAGTGATTAAGTTTGCTAACTTATATTTGGTTTTTTCACTCAGACTTAACTTATTCTCTTCATTCCATATATAATAACAGAGATCCTCTTCAACGTATGCACACCACAGTAATCTATGGACTTACCATAGGGGTTTGAAACATAATTGTCAAGATAGTTCGAAAAAACGGTTGTTTCGTTGAAAATGTTGAAAATGTAGACGCTGGGCAACTTAGTAAGGATAAGCAACATACCTAAATAAAATTAACCAGACAAATGTTATTAATTCGTAAAATAATCAACTGTGTTGATTGTTGTGGGTGAAATCAGCCGTTTAGATATACATTTCGGAATCGTCCTTTTAGTAATAATAATAATTTGACTTTCTAAGATAGCCGTAGTTTGACAGACCATTATTGGTACTGGGTGATGATTGAAGGTGAGATGAAAATCTGAAACGCGGCCGAATTCAAACCAGCGACCACCGGGTTACCGGCCCGGTGCTCTACCGACTGAGCTACGAGGTCCGACCGCTGACCCGGTGGTCGCTGGTTCGAATCCGGCCGCGGTCCAGATTTTCAACTCATCTATAATCATCACCCAGTACAAATAATAATAATTGTGGCTTTACTCTGAAAGATATTTTGGGAATACTGTACAGAATTGTCAGCATATCATGCAGCATCAATTGGAAAGAAACAGTGTACAAGCGCATTTGATAGACTGAAATAAGTATAAACTACGTATAAAAGATAAGAATATTTACTCCATCTACAACACTCTTGAAAACGCTGAGTTGACTTGAGTAAACAATCACATAAGCAATTGGATTCATGATATATAAATAACAACAAGGTGTATAATGTTTAATCAGTTTTGTTTTAAAAACAAAAGTTGATTAGTTAGCTCATTTATAATACTTTGTTGATCGCACAGGTGACGAGTTTTTATGTTTAGTAGTAGTAATAGGTGAATGAAGTTTGATGTACTTGTTCCTTGTTTTTCCATATGACCAACACGCAGAGAGTTTTGATTGAAGAGGATGTTAGTCATCTGATAAAATAACTTTATGTAGATGTTTGCGTGAGTTAATATATTTGTTCACAACTGTTTTAAGTAGAAGGTTTATTGGTACAGCAGTAGTTCTGCTGACAATCTTCAAATTTCTGCTCAATATAGCATAGTCTTTTTCAGCAACCCAGGAAAGAATAAAGGATAACAATAGAGGAGAACAGGGAAGATGCAGTTTATAAAACACAAGATGAGAGGCTGAGTTATACCAGATACTCTCGACTTCCTAATATCAAAGGTTAGGCGGAAAATTCTTTTTGAAATTAATACGATACAGGAGGACCGTGAAAAATCCGGAAAAAAACACCGAGAATAGTCATACTTTTAGTAACAGTTGTATACTCACTTGAGGGTGTAGCTCATTAATTTCGGTAGCTGATTTTCAACGAACGGGTCACGGGTATGAAACGCACACCACCTATTGAGGTTTTGGTAGCCAGACAAATAGGTGCTTGGAAGTGCATGTGGTTGTTGAGATCCCTTTTTCCAAGTTTTACTTAACTCTTGTCTTTATATATCACCTGTTCACTTATTATTTCTTTCTGTTTATCTATCTGTTCTCTTGATTATGATTTCTTGTTCTCTGTGATAGTATATGCATGACATGATCTTTTTCTGTCAGATTTTAATTCGTATAGAATATTTTAAGTCGACAGCTGGTGTTAATGTGACTTCAGTGAATTTCGTAAAATCTTGTAAAAGTCAATAATAAATAATTTTTTCTACCAACAATTGATGAAAGAGAACATACTGATAAAGTTAACTTCTATTGATTGGTCACAGAAGAACAACCAATTTCATGTTGTTTTATCCTGAGTGCATATCGAATCCTATCGATTATATTTGCAATGTGGCCACCAGGTTAGAAGGCTGAGCATCGTGGTGCATATTAGTAAATCTTAGTTGGTTGGAGGCAATCAATAGGAAGCCCTAGATTACTTAGGTTTCATGCTTGTTGACACTCGTCAGCAAGACGTATCTGTAACCTCGACGGAACAGATGTCCCGCCTGAGACTCGAAGCCGGGTCACCCAGTGTTGTAGTCAGTGACTTTGCCACTGAGTTATCGGGGCTGCAGCTGACCTGCTGTAGGACTGAGCTATCCTGCGACCAATCCATGTATGCTACCAAGTCCTGCAGGAGGTCAGTCGCGGTCCGAATAGCTTAGTGGTAAAGTCGTTGGCTACATCTTTGGGTGACGCGCGAGTTCGTATCTCAGGCGGGACATGAATTCCGTCGAGGTTGCAGATACGTCTTGCTGACGAGTACCAATAAGCTTGAGACCTAGGTGCAAGGTTTTCTTGTTAGGCTAACTAGAGTTTGTTGAGAATACTGTGGTTTTACATTTTTTGTTTGTTTGTTTATATACTAAGACATAATGTCACAATGCCAATACTTTCAAATGTAAACTGTTTTCGTTTTTAAAAACAAACGATTTAGCCTGATCTTTTTCGTCAGATGGGTCCATCATCAGATATCGCTTTGATACGTGATATATTGGATACAACTACGGCGAGTTGCCCTTTTCGTAAGTGGTGTAGAGATCTTTTTCCCCTATGATTTACATATTTCTGTTGTCAGTTTTAAAATTTTCCCCCAAATAAGAACAGTAGTTAACTCGACATTAATGTAATAATAATAATAATAATAATAATAATAATAATAATAATAATAATAATAAAGCTGATTCGTTTGCTTGTTTTTCAATCCTTTTTCCTTGTCATAGCTGAAACAATCTCTGTACATTCAATAGCATCGTGTTTGTTGTTATTTTTGAATACATTACCTGAATCAGTGATACCGTCACCATTTCAAGAAAAGTGTTTAAATTCACTTGCCAATTTTGAATGTGCTGTACAAGTGAGTATTTTTTTTGGACGTGTATATATATTCAATTTTGAGGGAGTTGTGAGGATTTGGAAATGTTTCAAGTTGTTATTCATCGTAGACTGACATAAGTTGGAGGAACGAAGGGGACCTGGGAGCACTGAATAGCTGTTTCGTCCTAGTGTGGGACTCTTCAATGACTCAACGGTAACGTGCTAGCCACGAACCTGAAGGTCGAGGGTTCGATCCCTAGCGAGGTCGTGGGTGCTGAGGAGTCCCATACTAGGACGAAACAGCTGTTCAGTGCTCCCAGGTTTCCTTTATTTCACTAACTGATGTCAGTCTACGACGAATAACAACTTGAAATATGCATATTCCGTTGTACAATAGTTTTTTTAAAAATTTAACAGTAGTTGATATGAACTATGATCAAGATTTGACCGAATAGTGTGGTAAATATTGGATGCTGAGTAAAAGGTTGACATTAGATATAGATTGTGTAAGTCATAGCATGTTTCAAATTAAATAATTTCAACGTTTTGCATGGAAATCTGGTCTGAAGCTTCTTTTCCCTGAAGAAGCTGTGACCAGATTTCTTTGCGAAACATTGGAATTATTTGATTTCAAACACACCGTGACTTACACAAATACCATCTGTATCCAACAGAAGTTGTTGGATTCTAACTCAACTGTGATCACACTTGTAAATGATAATGATCTAATCAGCTATGCTGACCAGGATGGTTGTTTCTTGAAGTCCTTGGAGTTCTGATCTGTAAAACTGTTTGCCGCTGTAGTGACAATTATATTTATTAACACTTCTGTTTCTCGATGCTTATAGTTGAGATGGTTGTAGACGTTTTGAGAGCGTTCACTGCACTTCTTAGCTTTACAATACTCGTCAGTAGTTCAAGGTCTTATGGATGAAGTTATTCGATCAAAATTTCATGTGTAGAGTTTTGCCACTTATTTATTGATTGGTGTAGAGTTTGTGGTTCTGGTTTGAACCAGGGTAGATTCAAACAGTTAAAAAGGATCACTTCTTTTTCTTTGCACTAACCGTTATTTCAGATTGTTTATTCTCGCACACAACTTTGTCTACTTTGATAGTATTACTTCTTTTCTGTTCGCCGGTTCCTTGTGTACTACTGTGAAGTGTGACAACTTCAGTCGATGCACTAGTGTACGAGGTTCTATGTTAATGTTGTCTATCTCTTTGTCATGTAAATGCCGCTTTAAACCTGAGCTAATAATTTCTTTTCATCTACCTCTAGAGTATACCTTGACTATATCACTAGTGTATTACTTTAAAAGTATATATTACCTTCATGTAAAGAAGACTTGATTTAGCATATGTTTCTTTGATAACCAGTTAAGTAAGAGTCGATATTGGTAGCTGATTCTTACGATGTACACTTAATTAGTTGTTGTTTTTACCTTGTAATATCCTCACACTTAATTAATGAAATGATTTCTTACAGCTTTTATTACCTCTGCTCGCAGTAGAATCCAGGATGCAGGTTTTGTTCTATTTGGGACTCGTCAGCTCGATGTACCTGCTTCCCAGTGAGTGATGTTATTCCCACTGGAATTCAGACTTGGTAGCAGTCGCTCCAAACGCCAGAGTGTTATCCATTACACCACCGAGCCACGATAGCCACTACTACAAACGTTTCCACTTACTTCATATCCAGCTTTATTTCACGTTTATCAACGGAAGAAATCTAAAGGAAGTAGTCTCTTTCGCCTACCTAGGTGACATAGATGAGGACGTCCAAACCAGGATCGGAATGACAGCAAGGCAGACGTTCATTAATCTGAAATCAGTGTGGCGATCTACTGCACTCAGTACAAAGAACTACATCCGGATTTTTAACACCAGTATCAAGTCAGTGCTTCTGTCTGGTTCAGACACTTGGCGGCGCGTTTCGAAAAGCATTTCCAACAAACTACAGACATCCATCAACAGCTGCCACCTATGCTCACTCGATACTGAAGACGGTCATCAGATGGCCAGAATAACAAGAACAAGCAACAAGAAACTCTGGCGGGCAACCAGCCAACCAAAAACCTGTCGCCCAACAAATATGCAGAAGAGAGTGCAGATGGATTGAGTTGGACATACATGGAGAAGGCCATTCGGGGACATCACGCGTGCGACCAGGTTCTCGAGTGGAATCCAAAGGGGAAATGACGAGTTGGGTGTCCGAAACGAGGGTGACATGGAGGAGATGGTGTGAGGAAGAAATGAAAGCTTGTGGTCAGTCGTGGCGCCAGGTTCAAAAGACTGCAGAAAAGAGAGTGGAGTGGAGACGTGCTACTGAAGCTCTATGTTCCACTAGGAACCCAAGAGACAAATAAATAAGTAAATTGTAAGTGTATCAGTTGTGGAGAAAGCTTAGCCGTAGTCCGAAATCAGACTAACTGGGACAAATTCAGAATTTAACACTTGACAATGTAAAATAGGACAATAATTTTCAACTCTCTGAAGCAATAGTTGGAAGTTACAACAGTTTATAGCCAAAAATAACTCGGACAAGTTCACTTTGTAATCCGATTAATGATAATCAGGCTCAATGATTTGTGTATATCTAAGTGATCAAAAGTGGAGCTCATTAGGGGATGACTTTCAACTGATGGTTCATAAGTCCGAGTCCTTCCCCATATGCCAAGGTTTTGGCAGCCAAATAGTATCACTAGCCCCTCATACAAAAGATGTAGCTCCATTGCCTACTGAACGAACGTTCACAAGGTTGATGAGTGTATTTCTAAAACTTGATTTCACTAATAAATTGGTTTTTTATCTCTTTTACTAACTCGTAAGAATAAGTAATCATAATGTATATGTTGTCTTGTAACTTTAATTTTTTTCTCTTTTCTATAGGCATTACAATATCTTCCCATCTCTAATCAGAATTTATTTTATTACTTAATTATCTTTATGCAACGGTGTCTTACTTTCAAAGAACACAATGGTACAGATATTGATTTATTGGGTAGGTGAAAATTGAGATATTTTACTATTCAAGTTGTTGTTTCGTATTATTACTACTACTACTACTACTACTACTACTACTTATATTCTAGTGTTCTGCTATTTTAATATCACCATAGTATGCAGCCTATTCATGGACAACAGATGAAATATTCAAAAGGAATCAATCAGTTAATAGTTGTACACTTTTATAGTGTAGGATGTTAGCTTCATTTATTTGGCGTAAAATGAATTCGTTACACCTGTTGATGACTGATAAACTTGATCCATTATAAATCATTTCCTATATTCATTCAAAGACATTAAATTAACTCTTCATTCATATTCACACTACTGTATATGACAACCTAATTGAATTTGAGAATATTAGATAACACTATTTTGATGATCAACCTTTATCCGCCTCATTCAACAACTATATGAAGACGCCACATGCCAAATAATTTACAATGGGAAGCTCAGTGATGCTTTTGAAGTGAAGACAGGAGTGAAGCAAGGTTGCCTACTATCCCCCATGATATTCCTGATTGTGGTTGACTGGATCATGCAGCAAACAGTGGGGAGCGAGAAGAGGGGGATATGCTGGCTGGACAGGGGAAAAGAACCTAGAAGATCTGGATTTCGCCAATGATGAGTTGTGCCTGATGTCACACAAACTTGAAAATGTACAGGTGAAAACTAACAAGTTGTCAGAAGAGGCAGCGAAGACTGGACTACAAGTGAATATAGAGAAGGTAGAGGTGATGAAGATACCGCACCAACAACAACAAGCTGCAATCACCATCAACGGGAGGAACTTAAAGGAAGTAACCTCCTTCACCTATCTAGGAAGCACTGTTTCAACTACAGGTGGTAGGACAGATGAGGATGTCAAAGTTAAAATCGGAAAAGCAAGAAAGGCGTTCATTAGCCTGAAACCAGTGTGGAGATCTTCTACACTCAGCATAAAGCATGGACAACATCCCGATTTTCAACACCAACGTCAAGTCAGTGCTTCCATATGATGGTTCAGAGACTTGGTGCGTTACGATAGGGATCTCCAATAAACTACAGACATTCATCAACAACTGCTTACGCTCGCTACTGAAGATCAGATGGATTGCCAGAAAGAATAAGCAACAAGGAACTCTGGCGGGTAACCAGCCAACCAAGAACCTATCACCCAACAAATATGCAGATGCAGGAAGTGGAGATGGAATGGGCATACACTGAGAAGGCCGAATGGGTTATCGCGCGTCAGGCCGGATACTCTAGTGGAATCCCCATGGGAAGCGACGAGTTGGGCGTCCGAGGCGAGGGTGACATGGAGGAGATGGTGCGAGGAGGAAATGAGAGCTTGTGGGCTATCGTGGAGCCAGGTTCAAAAGATTTCAGAGAACAGAGCTCACTGGAGACGTGCTACTGAAGTCCTATGTTCCATTAGGAACCCAAGAGACTAATAATAATGATAAATGATAATTTTGATGATCAATTAAGGTTTTTAAAAAATGCTAACATGATTACTGTTGAGTTAAGATTCTCTTTCTTTTGAAGAGTTATGAATTCCTACATCTAAGAATTCGTAGAATAACAACACTTCTTGGAATTTCAATACTTTTTGGATGTAATGGTTATCACTTGTAAATAGTAGATGATGATATGAGTATTTAGATTATGACTTTTAGAAATGCATCTAAAGCAGCTCTAGTCATACAGACGAAGTAGAGATAAGAGTCAATGAGATCCTATGATGCGTTGAACATATATATTCAATAGATATACTTTAAATCAATAAAGTTTTATTGAAAATGGAATTATTCACTTAGTTATCTATTTTTATATTTGGAGAGAATTGTTGAATTGCATTAATGATATTTTACTATGGAGTGTTTAAGACTTTTTATAGTTCAAGTAAAATCTTTTCTGATTGGATACATACTACTTATTCTGCAAAGCTTTGTTAATACTTCTCTATATGAATACATATATGCATTATATACAGTCGTGTAATCTGTATAACACTATCACATTTGCCGATACCTCATTAAAGGCAACCTCTGACCAAAATCGATCGAGACATCTAATGACAGTTTCTTTCTCCAATTTTTCATTTTAAGTTACTTTCATAAATAATGCAAATGTGATTTGTCGGTTTTACATTGTGACAATTAAATCAGATTAAATTGAAGGACTTTTCTTCTTTTCTCCGAACCTACTTTTTTTTGTGTGTGTAACTCAATAACTATAAAGGTGTGTTATCATCAATATGAACAATGGACTACGCATTACTGCGTAACGGTCCATTTTGCCATATCTTATGTCAACACCTCAAGTAACAACGAAAGAGAAAAAGGAAGAATAAGACAATGCTTAATTCAGTATAACGATTAATTTTGAAGATAACGTGAGGATACATCTGCGTCAATAACATCGATTCTGAGCCATACCACCTAAAGTTCACAACCGCTGGTTTCTCCTTTTATATGAGACTCCAGCCGACTATTTTGCATTTCTTTACATGGCTCAGATAAATAGTCAAAAACTTCATACAGTGATGTCATGTTTCAGTCTGTCCTCCTCGAGCTTTTTTCCAGACTGGACCTACTGTAGCTAACATTGTGCTACCAGACAGACAGTGACTAGGCTGGCATATGTAGCACATATCCCATCCATCTCAGTCGTTGAAGGTCCGTGACGTCATCAGTTGACTTCACTCTCTTTCCTAAAGATCTACACATCTGAGTTACTTACGTGGTAACACCATGATACACAGTCTGTGCTACTAAAGCAATTGAGGTTGAGTACCTGAATCTTGCCCGTGTCAGTCTGCCTTTTGATGGCTATATTTCACATCCATACAGTAGAACAATGCGAACTGCAGCACAGTACACTTGACCCTTAACAGGCAGTCAGATATCGTGGCGGCCCTGCAGATGGTGTAAGGTGGCAAAAGTCAGTCGAGCCTATTGTATCCGTGTAGAGATTTCGTCGGTCACTGACCCACTAGGGTTGAATATAAAGGTGTATAATATTAGTAAGGCAGTGTTTAATGGTAGTAAACAAGACACTGATTTTCCCCAATTCGAGAGTTATCAACTAGATGCTCATGTCTCTTTGTATGCATTGGTTTAACTTAGGGTACTAGGATTCGGTCGAACAATCTAAAATATTATATAGGGAAGCAAAAATTTGTTTCTGTAGAGCATTATAATTTTTTTTCTGTTGATGAAGTATTTACTTTGGTTTTGTTGTTTTATTGTTCTTTCTCTCCCCCTCGCCCATACCCTTCAAAACAGCTTCTTGTTTTGGTGAAATATTCTTCCTTGAATCTCCACCAACTACTCCATCAACAGCTATAACCAATGCACAAAAAAATGCACTTGCAGTGAAACAGCTTAAACGAACAGCTTTTATCAGCATTTTTCTGCGTTACAATTATCTTCTTTCAATTTCTCCATTGACATCACCACGCTAACTAATTTTTATATACATATATTCATATCTTTCTGATAATACTTAATATCCTATTACTTGTTATTTATGAATATATTTCATGCTCAGTTGTAATTGTCTACTATGTTTCTTGATATATTCTCATTCTCTTTTTATTAGACCTTTTTTAAATACACTGGTAATCTCATGCCTTTCTGTTTGTATATTTTTGCCAGTTTGTGTGTGTGTTTGTGCACACAAAAAATGAGTAGTCATGCCTTTTTTTTTCCCTTTTTCTAAATCTCATTCAATCAGTAATTCTTTTTAGTAGTATGTATGTGTAATGATAACATTTCAATTTAGAATGTGTTTTCAACTATGAAAAACATGTACACAGCATAACCTGTAGAGACTTAATCAAATTTCTCTTTGTTTCATCCATCCAACTGAACATTCCAAAGTAGAATTGATAGATAGCCGGCAAAAGTGATTCCCATATCCCAAATTTTTTTTTCTTATGATTCTCGTTTTTTTTCTCCCCTGTGACTTCTTTTGAAATTCTCATCTTTTGCTTCTATACTGACTTTATTTTATTATGGCTATTAGAATAGAAAGTTGATGATCAGTAAAATGTTTTCTAGGTAAAGTGAATAGCTTCCCAAGAAATTCGGAACCGAAACGATTATCTAACTATGAGCTAAACGCTCGAGTTACGCATAAAATCCGAAACAGGATTTTTCTGAAAAACACGGCTCTTTATAAATAAACAGTAGTGAATAATAAGGTAAAAGCCTCAAGTCGTGAGGTATCTGTGGATTTGACGCTATTAAAGCACCTTACATAGAGTCCATCAACAATACAGTACCAAGTCTGTGTGCAAGGTAAACCAAAAGGGAATATAACGGGCACACGTATACTCCCACAATGATATGCCATAAATAAGTGTTCAAGGTAACATAGAACATCAGATAGCAACGAAAGGAATCCTAACACTCTCATAAACCGGGAAAGGAACTAATATCTAGACATGTTAAATTCTGAAACAAGATTATGATTGAATAGAGTGAACAGTCAAGTTGGAGATGAAGTAAAATTAAAAGAGAACATGAATCATGCTACTCAATGGTAGTAAGTAGTATAAACTAAAGATATAAAAAGGGATACAAGACTAACACTTCATAGGGTAAGGGAGACCAAGGTAGTGAAGGAATTAAAACATATTTACATAATTCTTGTGCTCTACAGGGACGCTTAGAATACACTCAGATGCTCTGTCATTCTCTTCTTTGGACAATGAAATGAGACATTAACGGCTTGTGAGGATATATTTGGACTATGGATTAATATCTAGAATGTGTTATTAGAAGCTGATAACACTTGGTTATGTTCACGTATTAAGAAGGAGGTTGTTTCTCATCAAAAGTCCCCATTAATTTTGCTTCCAACAAAGAATCTAGCTAAGCAAGCAACTGATAGTAGCGTCGGTGCTGCATATTAACTCTTAGGTGAGAAGGAAGTCCGTCCGTTGTGCTGTCCTAATACCTGCCTAGATAGCAACAGAAAGACTGAATAGGCAAATATGCTGCTAGTTTATTAATTGTATTGTGCCAGTCACACATTGTAATATCTCAGCAACGTTTTATTTTCGAATGTCAAGGAAACCGGCCGAGTTTCTGAGGGTCCCATCAATGAGACCTGTTACTTAGCAATGCCTATTAATCATATCTACCATCCTAATCTAAATCTAGGGATTATAATACTGTAACCGTAAGACTTTAATTATGGTGGTATATTATCATAAACGATAGCTGGAAATTAACATTGCATTAAGGAATTGTTTACTTCTTCCCCAGTGATCATGAAAAATCTTCTAGCAGCTATGAAAGACAATGCGATCATGTCCTTGTAACCGCTTATTATCGAAACACAAAAACAGTGGTAGCATTCTGTCATCTTGACTCTGCACAATGTTTTGATTCCTCTGAATGGTCTTCATAGATTAAAGACGTCGGTAACAGGTCATCCACTAAATTGATCATAAATGTTACACAATCGTCATGTTAGTTCTTTCTACAGTCATATGAGTATAATCTTCCCGTCACATACAAATTAATCTTCACTCATTCAACATTCACAGTATAGTTTCACTTAAGACAACACAAATGAATGTTACCATTGTAATAATTAAACATCTAACGCATATGTCTATATATAATAGCTGCAACGTACAGTTTACAAATTTGAAATGGAACAGGGATTATGCATGTTTAAATTTCTGTTGAATAGTGAATGATACAATAAAAAAATATACTTCATGAAAACAATGCAATATAACTTCATGCAGATCAGATCTGTTCCAGCTTTTACAATTTCAAATTTATTACTTATATGATAGTTTGTAGTGAGAAACTGAACCACCTAGCGATGAAATATCATCCCAATGAAACTATAAGAGATTAACTGAAATAAATTTCATTTCTGTCACTAATGACTGCGTAGTCGAAAAAAGTCACTAAACAACCGAGGGGCGAGGAAAACGAGGACTTGATATCGAAAAAGATAATGGAGATTTGTGACTAAATCAACTAGGATAACCTAATCAGAAACGAGTATTATTTTATTAATGAATAAGCTTAGATATATAAATTTTACAAGATGGTTTTAGCGTATTTTGGCACAAAATGGGGATTCAGACTTGGTGAAACTCAATATTATTATTTGTCCTTTTGGTTCCTACTGGGACACGGCTTCAGTAGCACCCCTTTATTGCACTCTTTTCTCTGCAGTCTTCTTAACCTGGCTCCACGACAGCCCCAGAAACTCTCATTTCTTCCTCACACCATCTCCTCCATGTTACCCTCGCATTTAACGCCCAACTCGTCGTTTCCCATCTGGATTCCACTTGAATGCCTGGCCTGACGCATGATGTCCCCAGTTGGCCTTCTCAGTGTATGCCCAATCCATCTCCACTTCCTGCATCTGCATATTTGTTGGGTGATAGGTTCTTGGTTGGCTGGTTACCCGCCAGAGTTCCTTGTTGCTTATTCTTTCTGGCCATCTGAGCTTCACTATCTAGCGTAGGTGGCAACTGTTGATGAATGTCTATAGTTTTTTGGAAGAGCTTTTCGTGACGCGCCAAGTTTCTGAAACGTACAACAGCACTGACTTGACTGGATTGGTGTTGAAAATCGGGATGTTGTTCACGCTTTATGCTGAGTGCAGAAGATCTCCATACTGGATTCAGGCTAATGAATGCCTATCTTGCTGTGTTTCCGATCCCGGTTTTGACATCCTCGTCTGTGCCGCCACCTGTAGTTGAAACGATACTGCCTACGAAGGAAACTGAAAGAGACTATTTCCTTTAAGTTTCTCCCGTTGGTGAAACTCAATAGTTCAACAAATACAACTGTGAAATGATAAAAAGGTTTAGGTTCAGCAAAGAACTTTTATCCTTGAACAAATATGACTGTAATAGCTGTTACATCACATCATCGCTTATTAATTCGTGGTTGTAGTTTCATTTCTTTGCTTTGAAACTGCCAACTATTCTTAACAAATTCTATGGACCTAGAAAGTTTTGAAAAGGAATTATATATGGAAGCTTCTATGGTAATGTCCAGACCGAAGTGCTGTTACTGATTAACTGCTTCGGAAACTGAAGCAAAACATTAAGCGATAACAATATTCATTATATATTCCTATAAGAAATAGCTTAGTGAGTATCATCTTGATGAATAGTGAAACTATGAATAGGACTTATGACTATCTTTTGACATACTTGTTATTCTCCGTTGTTTTGTTGGATCTAATTGTTCGACCTCTATTGGCATATGGGCTCCTATGCGGATGCCTCGAACAATTCGACCCAACAAAACAACGGAGAATAACAAGTATATCAATAAATAGTAATAACTACTACCCGTTGTGCAAGAGGTGGTCATCGTCCCTCCGTGACACAGTGAGTAACGCCTTGGAGTCTGTAGCGATGCGTACGAGGTTCGAGTCACAGTGGCACTTTCAGGATCCTTCTGCTAGCCACGACCAAACGAAATATGAACAGGACTACTACTGTCATCTGTTTAATCAACTGCCTTGAATCCTTATATTCTCTTAGGAAGTAATCAGTTTATTCTGAAGTTCGCAAGGTGTTTAATGATAATT